TAGACATGTAAGCCCAGGAAGCACAGAGAGTCCCGAACAAGATAGATACAAAGAGGTCCACTCCAAGACACGTGATAATTAAAATGCCAACAGTTAAAGAGGGAATCTTAAAAGCAGAAAGAGAAAAGCAGCTAGTTACCTACAGCAGAGTTCCCATAAGACTTTCAGTTGATTTCTCAAAAGAAGTTTTGCAGGCTAGAAGGGATTGGCAAGAAATATTCAAAGCCATGAAAAGCAGGGACCTACAGTGAAGATTGCTTTACGCTGCAAAGCTGTCGCTTATAATTGAATGGCAGATGAAGAGCTTACAGACAAGAAAAAACTAAAGGAGTTCATCATCACCAAACCATTAATATATGAAATGTTAAAGGGACTTATTAAGAAAATGAAGATCAAAACTATGAACAATAAAATGACAAAAAATACATACCTATCAACAATTGAATCTAAAAAACAAACAAAGCAAACAAGAACAACAGAGACAGAATCATGGATATAGAAAGTATTTTGATGGTTGCCAGATGAGAGGGGAGTGTGGGGGACTGGTTGAAGAGGTGAGGGGATTAGGAAGGGCAAATAGGTAGTCACAGAGTAGCCATGGGGACGGAAAGTACAGTATAGGAAATGGAGTGGCCAAAGAACGCATACACATGACCCATGGGCATGTTAAATGGTGTGGGGGTTGCCTGAGGGAGTGGGAGGTGTTAGGTGGAGGGGGGCAAAGGGGAAAATGTTGGGACAACTGTAATAGCATAATCAATAAACTATAATTTAAAAGAAAGAAAGAAAGAAAGAAAACAGAAGTATTGGTTGGCCCCAGCCAATGTGGCTCAGTTATTTAGAGCATCATCTGGTAACCGAAAGGCTGTGGGTTCGATAACCATTCAGGGCATAAATCTAAGTTGTGGGGATTGATTTCTGGTCAGGGCATAGGAGGCAACCTAGTGATGCTTTTGTCTCTCATGGATGTTTCTCTCCCTTCCTCTCTGTAAAAGCAATGAAAAAAGTGTTCTAGGGTGAGGATAAAAAAAAGTGTCATTGAAGAAGGCTGAAAATTATTGGGTTACACAGTTTCAAATTTTACAAGCTACTTCTATTTCTGTGCTTTAAAATATGAACAGATTTCTTACAGTAAATTTACTGAAACAGGAAAGCCTGGGTTTTATATATTATGTATTTCCTAAATCACGTTCAAAGAGTAAATATGAGTAAGATAAACAATTGATTTACATGTGATAAGATTTCCCAGAGAGAGAATGTTAACATTTTGCCTTTTGACATAATAATTAATATTTCTTGGCTTTATTACTTTTCCTCAGTTTATTTTCTTGATAATTGAACACATGAAGCAATCAGTGATATCCAATTAGTTGTTTTCCCACTCTCTAATAATTTTTAAAATGTAATTCCAAGGGCAAAATGTAACAGAACACTTAAATGGTTATGTAAACAAATACTGCCATTAAAATGTCAGTGTTGCTGAAATTGAACTATTGACTGGTTGACATAGAAAGGATGTTCGATTCGAAATATTTATTCTTTAGCTGATTTACCATACATTCAGCATTGAAAAAGACAGTTTAAGGGTTTAACAATGGAAAAAGCCCGTTTTAAAGTTGAATATAAAGTTGTTTGCGTCTTTACAACCATGTTAAACATTCTCTTTAATCAAACCACTTATCCTTTGGTAATATGAGTATTTGATTACATATAGAGTTGATCCTGGAACCACACAGTTTGAACTGCATGGGTCCACATATATGTGGATTTTTTTTCAATAAATATTGTCACTGTATTTTCCTTCTGAGTTTCCTAAATTTTTTTTGCTATCTAACTTTATTATAAGAATACAATATTTCTTCCATATAACATACAAAAAATATGTCAACATGTGTTGACAGGCTCCTGACAACAGTCGGCTATTAGTTGAGCTTTCAGACAGTCAGCAGTTATATGAGGACTTTCGATTGTGGGGGGTGTATAGGTGTCAGTGCCCCTAATCCCTGCATTGTTCAAGGGTCAAGTTTACTTTCATTTTATGCTGCCGAGAGGAGTGTAAACCGAGAAGATCATTTGGTAAATGCAAGGGCTATTTCTGGGCTCTGGGTTTGCTGGAGTATATATTCTTAGTAATGTGCTTTCAGTGAAAACTTAAAGCTCAGTCTTTGGGCTCACTTTACTTTTAGCTCATATCTTATGATTCTCCACAATGGTATGAAGCCCTTCGTATCTCAGGTTTCTAGCCCATTAGGAAGGGTATAGTCATTTCCATTGATTTTAGAGGAAGTTGGAAGAGAAACAACAAGCTGATTGAGAGTCGCTGAGTTCAAATCCTTGCCTCTTCAGATAGACCTGTTTCGACAGGGGTTTGTTGCCATGCATAATTATTACATCCTTATACTCTGAGTGAGTGTGAATGTGTGCCTGGGTCTATGGCATGTGTGAACATCTGATTTTGTGTGTCTGTGAGAAAGAGAGGGCTAGTGAGCACTATGTGTAAGAGGGAGCATACTGTTTGAGGTAATACATCTTTCCTCTTTAATCTTCTATTTTTCAAAAAAAGGATACAGTTTACAGTGTGCTCCACCTGGCTCTCAGGGAGGATGCAGTCTTGTGGAGGGGGAATAACTGGGTCAGGTGCCCAGAGAGGGCTATATGAGCTGTGGCATGGAAGCAAAATCAGGGTTAACCCCGGGGCAGGGACTAACCTGGGGGCTCATCCCGGCTCAAGGCCTGAAAGAGAGATGTCAAAACTGATAAAATGTGAAAAGTTCGCAAGAGTTGGCCTAGGAATAAAATCGTTGTTAGTTATAGGGAAAGGAAGCAGCAAAGCATAATGGAGAACTAGTAGGGATAGGAGATAATCTGGAGAAATAATGTCCCTTTTCCACATTCTCAAATAAATGTCTTGTATCAAGTCCCAATAGCAGTTTGAAAATATTTTTTAACTATATATTAAATGCAGCAAAAAAAAAAAAAAAAATAGATGAAGAGGTTCTTGAAACACGTTCTCTTCTAAAAAAATAGAATTATAAAATACTATATGTCAGCTGATGATGGTTGGTACCAATTCAGTGCCAACAGGAATCCCCAGTTTGGGGTTCAGTGAAGAAAGAAGCTTTATTCAGTCATACAGCTCGGCTATGGAATAGCTTAATAGTGTTAGAGCTCAATTACGAAGCAGCATAGCCATGGAACAGCATGGCTGCAAGGTGGCTCAGGGGCCAAGAGACCCTGGGGCCAGGCCTCTTTCCCACTATGCAGCTCTGCTCTTCTCTGCTCCATCTGCTTCTCTCATTCACTCCTCTCTGCTCCAGGAGACACCTTTGGTGGTCCAGCTCCAGCCAGAGATGGCAGTCTTTGGTGGAAGGGGAAAGTGCACTCTGAGCCAGAGGAGCTGACTTATACAGACAGAAGTCCCTGCCTCGGGCCCCTGATTGGTCCAGCCTCATGCAAATAAGGCTTCCAAATCCTCCCAGTTTGGTGCAAAAGGCGCTGTCTTGATTGGTCAGGAGAGAGGCATTCTGATTGGATGGTGAAGATACTGATGGGGCTATAACTGCATAGTTCCACTTGGACGGGGCAACTTTTAGTCCTATTGGTTGAAATAAATTTGCAGGAGCTTTATAAGGGCTAGCTCTGATGGCAGAAACACAGTTCAGGAAGGCAGTTTGGTGCAGAAGGCGGGCAGCATAGTGCAGGGTTTTGCTGAAGTACCATACACCTGCGAGGTTCCTGCACAGAAATGGCTGGGGCTTTTGTTGTTGTTTCTTTAATCTTCCAGGAGCCTTTGTAGGTATCTTTTTCTCACTGTCAACATCTATATCCTCTAGCTTAAGGCCTGAACTTGTTTGTTCTGTACTTGGAACTCTGTTTAGTTATTCTGCATAATAGTGATTGTTTTTGTCCCGGAGAATAATGAAAGCCTCCTTAAGTCAGTTCTCAAGTACCATACATTGAGAGACAAAGCATGTATTTTTTAGAATCTAATTCTTTATTTATTCATTAAAAGAGTTTGCTAGATGGGTGTCTTTTTCATTAAAAAGTCCAGTGAGAGATGGTTAAGACATTACCGAGTTTTGAACCGTACGTCTAAACACTACTCATGATGATATTGTATAAAGTTTTTTATTTTCAAATAATTTTTACTTATATATTAAATCTTATAGATGAGAAGACTGCACTAAAAGAATGTTAAATGATATAGCTATAGGCACAGTCTGTTTTCTTGCTTTGCTTATAATAACTATTAACTTTTAAAATAACAGATCCTGTAATAAAAAGATTTGAATACAAAAGAAATTCTTTTTTTCTTTATTCTGACAGTCTAAAATTTATCCCAAAGAATTTAAAACAGTTTTGAAATTTAACAAAAGAATAGAATACATTCTGATAATAATAATAATAATGTCAACAAGAAAAACTAACATTCATTGACGTCCTCTGTGCCCATGACTATTTGAAGCACTTGCGTTTATTAGCTCATTTAATGCTTGCACAAACCTTATGAGATATATATTAATGCCACTTAAATGATATTTGATGACTTTTAATTTATGTTGTATTCTTAAGTTGCTTTACTAGCAAATAGTTTGGGTCAACTTCAGGAAAACATGCTGATAGAATATTAACTCTCACACAGTAAGATCTAAGAGATAGCGGCGGACATCCCTATTGGATGTTTTCCTCTCAGCAGTTTCATGTCTATGTATGTGATAACTGCATTTATCCAAGTTAAGTTTATTTCTTAGTTGATGCAATTATATCCTACATATCAGTATTTGACATTTTTTCTCTTATAGACAGTTTTTGGTACTGACTTCTTTTGGAGGCTGTTTTGAACAACTTAGCTTCAGGAAGATCTTGGGTGTTTTCTTCCAGTATTTTTTTCTTTGAACTTTTTTTGATTTTTAAATTGCTATTTTCTCTATATGTAGAGTCTTATCATATCCTGATCAATTGGCTACTTTAACATGTTTTTTTTTTCTTATTAAATTTAGAAAGAAGAGTCAGTAGGGAAGCAGACTATATTTTTGAAATGAATGAGGTAAGTTAAATGTATACTAACCTCCTATAAGTTGGAACAAAAAATCAAGACTAGGTTAGACACATACTTCATATGAATACTTACGTCTTTGTACTTGTCATTTACTCATAAGAAGTTCTGTGTTTCCTTTAAAAGCTCAGTGACCAAAATGCTGAAAGAAATAGAATATGAGAATGGAAGGGACTATGGAAATCATGTAGTCCAGTAATTTTCAGTGTTATTTGTAGACCATCTGAATGAGAATTATATGAAATATTTCTTTAAAATGCCGACTCTTGGGCCCAGCCTCAGATTACTAATCAGTACTATTCAGGATAAGGGTAAGAAGTCATAATTTTAAAAGAGCGCTCAGGTGACTCTTACTGCCATTCATTAACCTTTGAAAACCACTGTCATAAAGCAGAGTCTCCACAACTAAAGTGATGTGACACAGAGAACATATTCATTAAGTAAGTGAATCAAGACAATTATCTAGAAAGTAAAGAACATGAAAAATTACAGTTTTCATGTCATTAGAGCAGACTTATGAGATTGAACCAACCTAAATGATAATATGTATTGTCATTTTTACTTTGTTCATATTGACATCATAATAATATATGCTTCACAGATCTTTATATGTATTTCTCAAGTTAACTTCAATTACAGTTCACATTCTGTGCTTCTGTGTGTATCTTTCACATTTATATATGTTGTAGACCTAAACTTCTATAACAGAAAAATAGCTTCATGTCATATTTATGCTCTTCCTTATCCCTTTGCACATTTCAAGAACATGGATATTACTTCCTTGCTTTCAACTTCAGGTCTTCATTTCAAACAATTTTGTTCAGATTTTTAAGCTTCACATTTGGCTTGCCAAACTCAGAGAAATTCAACTGTAGTATTTTAGTAATATGTGTCATATTTTGGGGGGTTTTTGTTTTCAGTGGTGCTGAGATCAAACTATTGACTGGTTGACATATTAACCAGTAAATATGTAAATGACATATTAAACATATTCTGATTTGAAATATTCATTCTTTTGCTGATTTACAATATTTTCAGCATTGGAAAAGGCAGTTTCAGGGTTTAACTAAGGAAAAGGCAGGTCCTGTGAAAATATATCTCTCCTGCATACTCATCTGCATGGAGTCAGTGGAGAACATGTGGGCAGCCTGGATTTTCACTATCATCAGTAGTAGCAAGGTGCTCAATTCTTTCCTGCTGGATTGTTGTCAGAGGTAGCCTGGTGGAAAGCCAGAAGCTTCACCACTGTCTAGAAGTAGAGAAACCACTCCTGCTCCACTCCCTGCCATGGTGACAGTGTAGGCCATGTAGGGAGCAATAAGGAGGCCCCCATGCACTTTCTTTTAATTTAATGCTTGCACAAACCTTATGAGATATACATTATCTTTCCAGCCAGGAAAGTATAGTGTATGTACATTATACATATACTTTCCAGCCAGGTTGGGATCAGTGAAGGCCTAATGGTAAGTTTGAACTTCTAGTCCTACCGAGCAGTAACGAGAAACCCTTTCAACACCCCACCACCCCTTCATATCCACAGAGACTGAGTGGGAGGCCTTGAATTCTACCCCCACCAGGTTGCAAGATATCACTCCACTTACCCCTCAGAGTGGTGTTGGAGAAGACTTAGTAATTCTTCTGTTTTAGTGAAACAGAATATTTAAATAAAATCTAGAGTCTTATAACACAATAGCCTACATGTTTAGATTTCTATAGAAAATCACACATAATACCAAGAACCTGAAGGATATCAACTTGAATGAGAAAAGACAGTCAACGCATACCAGTGCTGAGATGACAGATGTTAGAATAGCTGATTAGGATTTTAAAGAGTCTACCATACAAATCCTTCAATGGACAACTGTGAACATGCTTGAAACATAAAAACAATAGAAAGTCTCAGCAAAAATATAGCAAGTTTTCAATAAGAACATATTGGAAATTTTAGAATTGAAAGATAGAGTAGCTGAAGTTAAAAAAAAAAACAAAAAAACCCTCAACAGGAAGTGTGATGTATAGTGGAAGAAATCACTGAATTTGGAGATAGAATAGAAATTATCCAGTCTAAACAGAGGAATAAAAAGAAAATGAAAAAAAAATGAACAGAGCCTTAGGCACCTCTGCGACTATAACAAAAGATCTTGTATTTGTGTTATGGAAGTTCTGGAATAGGTGAGAGCAGGCTAAGAAATATTTGAAGAAATAGTAAGTGAAAATATCTCAATTTGTCAGAATACACAAACCAATAGATTCAAGAAGGCGTGGGAACTGCAAACAGGTTAATCCCAAAGAAATTCACATCAGTTGAACTAAAACTAGTTCAGATAACTAAAGGCAAGAAAAAAATATCCTGAAAACAGTGAGAGAGAAAAATACCTTAATGCTAGGGGAAAAGTACAATAATTAAATGACAGTTGTTTTCTCTCAGAAACCTGAGGAAGTAGTTCAGGTTGTTTCAAGTGCTCAAAAAAAAAAGCCAATCCAGAATGGTGTAGCTGGTGAAAGTATCCTCTGGGAATAAAAAAAATCAAGCCATTCTCAAATGAAGGAAGATTAAAGAAAAATTTAACCAGCACATCTGCCCTAAAGACTGGTCAAAAGAAGTTCTTGAACAGAAAGAATATGATAAATTAAGAACGTTTGTAACATGGGAAAGGAGAGGAAAAAAACAAAAGGAGTAAAAATATGAGTAAATATAATAGACTTTCTTCCTCTTCTGAGTTTTCATAGTTGTTTGACAGTTGTAAAAATTTTTAACAATTTCTGATATTTTCAATGCATGCAGAGAAATACTTAAGAAACATAAACAAAGAGGTTTTGGGTTTTAAATGGAAGTGAGGGTTATATGTTTCACTTGACAGATAAAACATACACATTGTAAGTTGTGATAAGTAATGTATATGTAATGTAATATCAAAATCCACATAGAAATACACTCAAAAACTCTTTAGAGAAATCAAAGTGGAATTATAAAAATAGTTCCAATAACCTACAGGAAATCATGAAAAATAAAGTAGAGAAACAGAGGGAACAAACAGAAAACAAAGTGGCAGAATTCTTAATACATCAATAATTATATGAAATATAAACAGTCTAAACATACCAATTGAAAGACAGTTTTGTAAAATAGGTTAAAAACATGAATGTAAAAAGATTAAAATATATATTGTGGCTCAAGATATATACAAACATTAATAGAAAGCAGGAGTACTAAATTAATATATGAAGTATACTTTGTAGCAAAGAAAATTACCGTGGACAGAGCAGAACATTATATAAGAATTAAAAATGTTCATCCCATATTAAGATATAGCAATGCTAAGCAAAAAATAATAGGATGGAAAGGACGGATACACAAATCTGTAATAACAACTGGAGACTTTACGCTTTTCTCAACAGTAGATGGCACAACAAAAGAGAAAACCAACAAGGATATACATCAACCAGCAGGATATAATTGATATTTATAAACTGACTCACTTGATAATAAGAGAACACACGTTTATTTCAAGTACACATGGAACATTTGCCAAGATAGACCATATCCTGGGCCATAAAACAAACCTCAAGAAATTTAAAATAATTGAAATCATGGAGTGTGTTCTTTGATCACAATGGAATCAAACTAATCAGTAATAAAATGATAACAGGAACATCTCCAATAATTGGAAACTAAACAACATACTTCTAAACAATCCATGAAAAAATCCAATCAAGGAAAAAACGAAGCAAAACCTTGAACTGAATAAAAGTGAAAAGTGCAACGTATTGACATTTGAGGTTGTAGCCAAAACAATGCTGAGAAAGAAATTTGTACCATTAAATGTTTATGTCAGTAAAGCGGGAAAGTCTAAATCAATAATAAGCTTCCAGCTCAAGAAATAACAGAAAAATAAATATAAGAGCCAAAATCAATTAATTTAAAACAAAAAATATCTTTGAAACAAAAAGTTGGTTCTATGAAAAGGTAATGAAATTGACAGACTTCTAGCTAGACCAATAAAAAAGGAGAGAGGGGAGGGGTGAGGGAAGAGGAGGGAGAAGACAAGGAGAGGAGAGGAAAGGCAATATAATCAATAAAAGGAATAAAACAAGGCATATCACTATAGACTATAGATATAAACAAAGATAAAGAAAGACTAAGATACACAACCCATTTAATATGAAATAAATAATTTGAAAGTCCTATAGTTATGAGGAAATATTTTCCCCAAAGAAATGTTTAGGTCCAAATCATTTCACTGGAGAATCCTACCAAATATTTAAAGAATAATTAATACCAGTTTTATACAGTCTCTTCCAGGAAATATAATAGGAGTAAGCACTTCCCAGTTCATTTTAGAGGCTTCCATTACCCTGATACTAAACCAAACAAAGACAGTACCAAAAAAGATGGCCATAGACACACAGATCCTCAGTAAAATATTAACTTATAAAATATGAAAAGAATTTAGTACTATAACCAAGTGGAGATTATTTCAGTGATGGAAGGCTCATTTGTTATTCAAAAATCAATTGAGGTACTTCATCATGTTAAAAGCCTAAAAAATAAAAATCACATGATTTTTCTATTTTTTCAAGGAAAAACTTAAATTCAATTGCCTTTAACTACACAAATTCTCAGAAATTAGGAACTTCCTTCCCTTAACAAAGAACATCTACAAAACACCTACCATGACATCGTATGTAATGTGAAAGACAGAATGCTTTTCCCTCTGTGATCAGGAACATAACAAGGCTGTCTTCACTTACAGCTATTAAACATAGTACTGAAAGTGCTTGCAGTAAGGCAAGAAAATGAAAAGACTATGAATCTATAAAGAGTAGATACAGGCTTTTCCTATTTGCAGATGACAGAATAGTCTAAATAGACAATTCCCAAGAAATATTTGAAAAACAAAACAAAAACAACAAAACAAAAACCCTGGCTCTCTTAAAACTAATAAATAAATTTCAGACAAAGTTACTGCATCTTTATTTATGAGCAGTGAATATGTGGGAGCTCAAAATGTATGTTAATGCAATTCCTATTAAAATCTCACCAAGACTTCTTCTAAAATGTATATGGAAGGGGAAGGGACTAGTCAAAAAACATATATAAATGACCCATGGACGTGGACAACAGTGTGGGGATGGACTGTGGGAGCGGGGGGCGGGCTGGGAGGGAGAGGGCAAGAGGGGAAGAATTAGGACAGCTGTAATAGAATAGCAATAAAAAAATAAAATGTATATGGAAGTGTAAAGGAAGTAGAAGGGCTAAAACAATTTTGAAAAAAGAAAGTGGAAGGAAGCAGTATACCCCATTTAAAGACTTATTTATTAACTGCATTCTTTTTTAAATTTTCAATTACAGTTTACATGCTATATATATATGTGTGTATATGTATATATATTTTAGTTTCAGGTATACAACTTCTGACAGGTGTGAGGTGATCTCATTTTGGTTTTAATTTTCATTTCTCTAATCAAGACTGGTATTTGCAGAGGTTAATTAAAATAAGGACTGCAGAAATAGCCCCACTCTACAGCCAAATGATTTTTGGATAAATGTGCAAATATAGAAGGATAGCCTTTTCAACAAACAGTGCTAGAGCATTTGAATATTCATAGGCCAAGTCATGAACTTCAACCTAAACCTCACGTCTTATATAAAAATTAATGCAATGTTGATCATTATAACTATAACTTCAAAACATAACTATAGTATGTTTTGAAGAAAAAAATAGGAGAAAATCTTTAGAATCTAGGCCTTGGTGAAGAATTTTTAACCATGACACAAAGGCATGATCCCGTTAAGAACAAACAAGCTCCTGACTGGCAGTAAATATTTGCACATCATATATCTGACAAAGGACTCCTGTCTATGATATATAAAGAAACAGCAAAGCCCAATAGTGTTGAAAAACAGCAATGCGAGTAAACAAAATACATGATGAGACATTTCTCTAAAGGAGATATATGGATGGCAAATAAACACATGGCAAAATGATCAATTCAGATCACTAGCCTTTGGGGAATTACAAAATTAGACCAAAGTGAGATATCACTAAACTCCTCTTAGAACAGCTAAAATGGAAAACAGTGGCAATACCAAATGCTGGTCAGGATACAGAGAAACTAGATCCCTCTCCATTGCTAGTGGGAATGTAAAATGGAACAGCCACTCTGGAAAACTGTTGGGCAGTTTCTTTAGAAACTAATCACACACTTACCATATAACTTAGTAATCATACTCTTGGGCATTTATAACACAGAAACGAAAACTTGTATTCACACAAAAACCTGTGGAAAAATACTGGTAACAGCTTTATTTGTAGTAGGCCAAAGAGGAAACAACCCAGCGGTCCTACAGTAGGTGACTGGTGAAACAAACTGGCGCCTTACTGTGGAGTGCTACCCACCAGGAAAAAGGAACAACCTAGATACACACCACTACTTGGATCTCCGGAGCATTATTCTGAATGAAGGGGAAAAAAGACTCGAAAGATCCCATACTGTGTGATTCTGTGTTTATAGCACTCTTGAAATGCAAAGATAAAGAACAAATTAGTGGTTGCTAGGGGTTATGGATGCTGAAGGGGAGGAAAGTAGACATAACTTCAAAGGGGCAGCACAACGGAGATCTTTGTGATGGAACAGCTCTTTATCTTAATTGGGCTGCTTCTTGAATATATATGGATACAATGACAGCCCTGTATACGTACATTGTACTCAAATCAGTCCCCTGGTTTTGACACTGTACTATAGTTATTTAAGGGATAAACGTTGGGGGAAACTGGGTGGAAGGTACATAGGATCTATCTGTACTATCTTTGCAGATTCCTGTGAATCTATAATTATTTTATAATAAGTTAAAGGAGAAGTGAACACAACTTAACTTACATCCTTCAATGCCAACTTGATTTTCTTTTATTCACACTGAAATGCTGAAACAAAAACTACATTGCAGTCCATTTTTCAAAACGGCATATTGATAGCAGTGTTCATTCAAGCTTTGGGTTGAGGCAGAGATGACTAGAATCATTCAGTTTAGTCCATTAACCAATTTAGAGTTATGATAAATATTTGGGTCTTTTTATAAGACAGAAGAATATGTAGAAATTCCAGGCTCACAATTTTAAAATTGTTTTATACTTTCAAAGGATATTTTGTGCTTTCATGATTGCTTAAAATTTAAATGGACTAAATTCTAAAGTGTTACCATTGATTTATAATTAATGTAGGTCAACATTGAACATTGTTATAATCTTTTGGAGAGCCACAAAAAGAACGTGAATTAAAAAGTTATAAATATATTTATTATATGATTTCACTAGAAATTAAGCAGAAATTAACTTTCAAAAGCCAATATTGAGAATTTCCCATGTTATTTAATCTTACTGTACAGAAATTGAGGCATAGAATAGTTAATTTGCTCAAGTTTACATACATAATCAGCTTTGCATAGTTAAAAAAAGGTTATGAAGAGTCTATAGAATGAGACTATAAATTGGCTTATTGTTATATCTACAAAATGTTGGTGCTGGGATTCTGAACCCAGGCAATCTGATTCTAGACCTTATTCTCGTAATCACTCTACAGTATTACTTCTTTAATAATACTGTATTAAGAATCCTGTCTAGAAGTATTTTTTTTCTGAATTTCAATTTCCAAATCATTGCTTCATGTGTTTATGATATTCAGGGTGACTACTCAGTTTCTATGATGATTCATAGGTTTTCTGTGTATTTCCACATTTTGTTGCTAGTGGAATTTTGTGTCATTTATTCATACATTTACTCATTTCATTACATTTTGTATCATTTCGCTTAATTCCTTAATAGTTGGGGTCAGGGAAAGAGGCACCCTGAGACAAGGCCACTGAAGAGGGAAATGTAGAATTGAGAGCATAGATTTTTCTTCTCCTAACACCAAGGTCAGTGAGAAATGAGACAATGAAATACTCAGCAAAAAGTATGAAGGAACCTATGTTATTTTATGTTCTGCAAACAGAAGACCATAACTTTTGATTAGATAGTCACAACAAATTCATTTTCCCTAAAGTGAGAAATTATAAAGTACCTAGCCTGATTGCTTTTGGAACATTTAATATATTATTTATTGTACCCTCCAATAAGCAAAACACCTTACTCTTCTCTAACATAATTGAAAACATTACATTATAAAGAGTCAATTTAGTATGAAACTATAAAAAATTTATATATTGTCTTAAAGGCAGAAATGTAGATGCACAATTTATCATCAGACGCTGCTATTTCAGAATTAAATGATCAAAGTATTCTGACTTTTTTGGGTGAGTTAATGGAATTCTTTCAAGGTCCATAGGCAACTAGAATCATGTATCAGTGAAATAGGACTTTTAGCATTTATTAACTCATAGACTCAGTTTTCCCACAGCTCTTCCCACTGTTTCAGTATAACTTTAGTGCCATCAAATGTTTGAAAGGCCTAAAATAGTTAATTCTTCCGTTTGTTTTGGTCCTGTCGAGGATTCAGCCTCATTAAAAGAATGGATATTCTTGCTATTTCTCTGTAGTAAAGTAGTTCTTAACCATTCATTGAGTCGCAGGTTATTTCTATGATTTGATAAAGCTACCTCTAAAATTCTCATTCTCTCTCAAGCTCTCTCTGCACACACACATGTACACCTACACTGGCATGAATACACGAGCACACATATACACATACATACACACAGTTTTGCATTTCATTTCAGGTGTTTCGTAGCTCCTGTAAATTGCAGGATTAGTTTTGCTACATAGAGAAGCTTTGGTTGTTGAAAGTTATATCCTCCCCACTTGCATTATTATTAACAGCATTGTATCTTCCCCATGGTGCTATTAGCAGAGCCTGAGCAGCAGAGAGACCAGCTTTCTCATCAAGGAAGAACCAACGGTGAGCAGCAATTAGTACTGTTTTTTTTTTAATCTTTTTAAGTCAAATTTATTGGGGTAATATTGGTTAATAAGATTATATAGGTTTGAAGTGTAGATTTCTGTGATACCTGATGTGTACATCGCATTGTGTGCCCACCGCCCAAAGTCCCGTCACCTTCCGTCATCATGTGTTTGGCCCTGTTCACCCTTTACTACCCCTCCCTTTCCCTCTGGTGACCACCGTACTGTTGTTTGTGTCTGTGCGTTGCAGTTGTATTTCCCACGTATAGGTAAAATTGTGTGGTCCTCAGCTTTTTCTTTCTTTCTTTTTTTTTTTTTTTTACTTTTAAGATTCTTTGCACTTTCTCTTTTTTTAAGTATAGTTTATGTATTATGCTATTACAGTTGTCCCATTTTTTTCTCCCCTTTATCATCCTCCACCCTGCACTCCCCCTTCCCTCCAGCATTTCCCCCATTAATTCATGTCCATGGGTTGTATATATAAATTCTTAGGTTTTCCGTATCTTTTCCTATTCTTAACCTCCCCCTGTCAGTTTTGTACCTACTAATTAGGCTTCTTACTCCCTGTACCTTCCCCCCCGTTCTTTCCCTGTCACCTCCCCACTGATAACCCTCCATGTGGTCTTCATTTCTGTGATTCTGTTCCTGTTCTTATTGTCTGCTTAGTTTGTTTTTGTTTTTTTAGGTTCAGTTGTTGATAGTTATGAGTGTGTTGTCATTTTATTGTTCATAGTTTTGATCTTCTTTTTCTTAGATAAGTCCCTTTAACATTTCATACAGTAAGGGCTCGGTGTTGATGAACTCCTTTAACTTTATTTTATCTGGGAAGCACTTTATCTGCCCTTCATTCTACATGATAGCTTTGTGCATGGAGTAATCTTGGATGTAAGTCCTTGCCTTTCATGACTTCGAATACTTCTTGCCAGCCCCTTCTTGCCTGTAAGATTTCTTTTGAGAAATCAGCTGACGGTCTCATGGGAACCCCTTTGTAGGTAACCGTCTCCTTTTCTCTTGCTGCTTTAAAGATTCTCTCCTTATCTTTAATCTTGGGTAATGTAATTATGATGTGCCTTGGTGTGTGCTTCCTTGGGTCCAACTTCTTTGGGACTCTCTGAGCTTCCTGGCCTTCCTAGAAGTCTCTTTCCTTTGCCACATTGGAGAAGTTGTCCTTCATTCATTTTTCGAGTAAGTTTTCAATTTCGTGCTCTGTCTCTTCTCCTTCTGGCACCCCTATGATTTGGATGTTGGAACGTTTAAAGTTGTCCCAGAGGTTCCTAAGCTGCTCCTCATTTTTTTGAATCCTTGTTTCTTCATTCTGTTCCAGTTGAATATTTATTTCTTCCTTTTGTTTCAAATCATTGATTTGAGTTCTGGTTTCCTTCCCTTCACTGTTGGTTCCCTATATGTTTTTCTTTATTTCCCTTTGCATAGCCTTCACTTTTCCTCTATTTTGCTACTGTATTCAACCATTTCTGTGACCTTCCTGGTTACCAGTGTTTTGAACTCTGTATCTGATAAGTTTGCTATCTCTTTATCACTTAGTTGTGGGTTTTTTGGAGTTTTGATCTGCATCTGATAGGTTGGCTTTCTCTTCATCACTTAGTTATGTTTTGGGGGGTTTTTTTTGAGTTTTTATCTGTTCTTTCATTTGAGCCATATTTCTTTGTCTCAGTGCACGTATAACATAAGGGGCAGAACCTTAGGTATTCACCAGGGTGGGGTAACCCAGGCCACTGCATTGTGATACTGTGTGTGGGGGAGGGGTCTGAGAGGGAACAATGCCACTTGCTAGGCCCTTGATGGCTTTCAGTCACTTCCCCTGCTACCCACAAGTGATTTGGGCCCTTCTGGTACTGATTCCTGGGTGAATGGGCTTGTGCATGTTCTAGGACCTCATGGCCCCTCCAACAGACTCTCCTGTAAAATTGGCAACCCCCACCGCCACAACCCCCACAGGTTTTTACAGCCAGAGGTTCTGAAGCTTTCATCACCCAGTGCTGGAACCTGGGTTGTGTGGTCTGTCTCGCTACCCAGTTGTTACTCCTGATTTATCCACACACAAATGTGGGACCACTCGGTCTGCCAGCTGCCACCTCACCCACAGGGTCTGCCTTGCTGCCCCTCTCTGCCCTGGCTGCCCATCTGCACCCTGTCTACCAGTCTGGATGAACATTTATTCTTTAACTCCTTGGTTTTTAGACTTCCATACAGTTTGATTTTTCTGGCAGTTGTGGTTGTTTTTGTGTTTTTAAATTGGTTGTTATCCTTCTTTTAGTTGTGTGAGGAAATGAAGAGTATCTGCCTACGCCTCCATCTTGGTTGGAAGCCCACACTTCCTCACTTTTTCCGGCTGACTGATTTCGCATTTGTGTAAATTCTCAAGGTCCATCAATGTTGTCACAAAACAAAAACCAAGAGAATGGTTAAATGAATGTGAACATTGTATCTTGTTACTATGCAAGGTGTGTTAACTCTTGGTGAAACTGATTACTGAGTTCAGAAATTGAAGTTTTGACTCCTGCCCATGCCTGGAATTTGGGGGGCATTCTTCTCATAAACTGAAATTTATTTTTACGTGTGAATATTTATTTCCTTGAATTCTTTTGTATGTGGTTAAAGGCATTACTACAATTTGTATGCACTGGTCTTCAAGGGAAAGCCTTAAAGCTTGGTGTTGCACTGTGTATTCTTCAAGGTCCATTGCAGATATTTGCAAATATTTTCATGTCTGGTTATTCATTTAATACTTAACTTTAGAAAAATCAGAAATTTCACACAGCTGTTATTGTTTATTTTGAAGCTACAGTTTAAACATAGGAATATGTAGACCACAGAAGCTGGGGATATGAAATGCACTCAAAACAGTCTTTAAGGCAGTTACACATACACTGTCAAAGAGAAGGCTGTTGTGAATCCACAAGCCTTGTCGCATTGGGATCTGGTCACATACAACTGGGGATTCTCCAGATTAAATTCTGTTCACTAAAGTGAAATTTATGTATAGATCTTTAAACTCAAGAGAAGCTCAGCAATTGTGTAGGACTGAGACAAATTTCTTTTTTTTTCCAGAAAGGGGTATTTTATCAATGACGTGTTTAGAATTTGCTAGTAATGACCTTTTGTTGGTTTTATCATTTTATTTTTGTTTGCACCAAGGGTGCACTGCTCCTAGTACTCAGCCCTTGGTGCTGGTATATGTCTTCATCGCCATTTTTTGATGGTTAATAGGATCTACCTCGTAGCATTAAACAGAGTACACTGTGTTTGCCATAAGTCAAGATATACTAGCTGCTATTTAATTGCTGTGGTTCTGTTAGAACTTGTGTAAGACTCACTCAGTAAGTGGGTTATATAGTTTATAGATTATTATATACATTCTTAACAAAGAGGGTTAATGTAGTTTTTAATATGAAATCCAAATCTCAGGAGCAGTTGGACTTTTTTTTTACTTAGAAATGAAGAGCATTGCCTGGGTTGTGGTATATCTCCATGAATTATATTGATTTCCATCCCCTTAGAATATACAGTCTGGAACTGTCTATGATACTGGACCTTTCTTTACCCTAATTTCTCACTAATGATCCAGGAGCTGAGGAAGGAGTTGGCGTCAGCTCCTTATGCATCGCCTGCTACTACCGCACTAAGTAGTGCCTGTGTTGGTCCCTGTCTGGCATGTTGAACATATCAAAAATGGCCAAGGAGGGGTGTGAGATAGAAGGAATACATAAAAGGAGAATATAGAGGAGTGATAAAAATTATATTTAATAAGAGAAAGGTGCTATCAACAACTCCTACTATGTAGCACCCATAATAGATTTTCAGCTCTCTTCCTGGAGAAAGGAATCTCAATTATCTTCTTACAAACAATTGAGATTAAATTTAATGAATTGAAATTATAAAGATAAAATTATGTTTATGAAAAGTGTAAAATATATGAAAATTTATCTCAATGTTGTGGCAGTATGAAAAGGCAAAAAATGTGTGTATGTTAAATATAATCACCATGTTAAAAAAATTTAGTGCTTAGACAAAATCAGAAATAAATATGCCTCTAATAGTTACTAAGGTAACAAGGAAATAGAAATGATTTTAAGAATACCTTTTTATTAGTTTTAGTGTTACCAGTTTCTTTATGAAAGTGAACATAATCAGCATATAATAGAAATATATGTATAATAAAGTTATTAATTCTAAAATGTTAGTCTATATAATGTTAATTTTATTATTTGCAATTAAGTGCCTTGGTGATATTTGTTTAAAATTATGTCGTTTTAAAAATAATAACTATCAAGTCACTACTTTTTCAGACCGTCTGCTGGTGTTGAACCCATTGGTTTTTATATTGTAAGGATACCGTGTATATTGGAAAAGCTGCAGACTAACTTGATATTAGCTGTATGTACACAGAAGGCTGTTTCCCAATCATCTAGGTAATTTTTTATACCCTACACTCTCAGCAGCTTTTGAATGCGGTAATACTTCATCCATAACCCCAGGGCCAGAGCTGACATTTTTTAGTCACAGTAGGCTGTGCCTATGATACTTTTTGTCGCCCACAGAAATGCTTTATTTCTGACTTTTTAAAAAATCAGAATAAGAAAACAAAAAAGATTAGACTAGTATATTCTATTATATAGTATACTATATTATATACTATTCTATTAACATACCATGCTGTTATGTTATATGCTGTGTGTATGTGTTTATAGTCTGTTCAGAAGGTATCCAGCCATGCAAGATGAAAAATAGGGACATTTATTGAAGAGGATACAAGAACCATTGTACACAGGACAATGACACCTCAGTCTCCTTCAAAGTAGGCATCTTGGGGCCTCATACAGTTCTAATCGCCATCATCTGCCCTGTTGTATTTTCCTGAATCTTATCAATAATATGAAATCTCTTCCCTTTCAAAGGTGATTTTAGTTTTGGGAAAAGCCAGAAGTTGCAGGGTGCCAAACCTGGGCTGTAGGCGGGCTGAGTTACCTGGGTGATTTGATGTTTCACCAAAAACTCTGCAGGAAACATATATGAGCAGGCACATTGTCATGATGAACCTGCTTATCACCAGTTGCCCATAGCTGTGTCCTTCTGAATCATCCAAATAGTCTCTGCGGAGGAATATTCAAGCTTAATGCAAAATTTGATGCAGAGTCGTTGCTGTGCTCATTCAATCATTTTGAAAATGATGGCTACACAGTACACATCCTCACTCAAACATTGTCTACCACCCCCACTAACTAGTATAATGAAGTCATTGTTGATGCATGCACATTCCAGTCCACTCTCCTTGGCTGCCAGGTTACATCAATGTGTCACAAACCACTCTCATTATATTAACAATGGCTGGACTTTTTCTGGACAACACACACACACACACACACACACACACACACACACACACAGAGTTTTAAGGGGAGTAAGGGGCCCATGAAGCCAAATACATAGGACCTAATGAAAGTCATACTGTGGCTCTGCATGGTCCCTTAGGGTACAACTCTTTCATTTCCCTTAACAATTCTATAATAAATTTAGGGAGGACATCTGAGAAAAACAGGAACTTGTGAATCTTGTAAAAGATCCCAAGAAAAACAAAGGGCTGAGGTCAAGAATTTTAGCAGAAGAACATAATTTAAAATGTGCTTTATACAATGACCAACATCTGTCATGTATCTGTTGTGTTTTTAAATAACAGCAGCATTAACTTGTCTATACATAGTCAGCGCATCACTTGAAGCAGGAATTCTCGTTTCCAATAGTCACCAGTTGCTTTGGTCTCTTTAGCCTATTCCAGGAACTTTTCATGACAAGATGGATACTGTTGATAATTTTATTAGATTATTTATCATTGCCATATATTATAAAATACTTGCATTTTTGTGCCATTGGTTTGGTTTTCTTTCCAATATTATTGATTATTCCCGATTTTTTTTAGGTAATTGCCTTGGAGTTTTAAAAATAATGGCTGTTGTAGCTGATGATGGGAGACAACTCAGCATTTAAATAATTGAATGACTTTTCCCTTTTCCCCTCAGTTTTTGAGAGGCTATGAAATATTATACATTATTGGGCAACTTTCAGTACCGTATACAGTCTAAGTATAATTGTAGTGATTTTGCTTTCTTTGCTTGATATATCGTCACACTTAAGAGAATACCTATTTTACTTTACCATCATTTCCATGTTTTCCTTCATCATTATTTTATCCTTTCTTTAATTCAATTCCCCAAATATGTATTATTTAACATTACTGTTTAAAGGACTTAGGGAAATTTACTTCAAAGTCATCTTTTTTTCCTTCATTCTTTATTCGTTTCTATTTTTGTTATTTTATTCTTTTTAACTTCTCCCACCCTTCAAATTTAAATATCACAAAAATGTACACATTCATCTGGGTGATAATAATAATGAGTTTGTTTGTGTGTCTTTTTGTTGGAAATATTTTCTTTCTTTCTTTTTTAATATTCTTTGATCCTTAAATTTTTATATCTCTTAGCATGTAGGATGAAGAAAGGCTGTACATTGTTGCATGAGAGTCTATACTTTAGATCAAATTTGTATTTTGTCAGTTTGGCAAATGAGTGAGAAAATGTTAATATACTATTAGACTTTTTCTTTCTCTTTAAAAATTTTTTATTGAATTTATTAGAGTGACATTTGTTAATAATGCTGGTTTCAAGTGTACAATTCTATAATACATCCTCAGTATATTGTGTTGTGTGTTCACCACCCAAAGCTTCTACCTTGCCCCATACCCTTTCTCTCTGGTGATTACCTGTTGTCTGTGTCTATGAGGGAGGTTGGTTGGCTCCTCCTCGCTTCCCCTCCCCCTCCCTCTCATTTTCTGTTCTCTGTATCTATGAAACTGTTTCAATTTCGTTTGTATATTTTGTTTATTAGATTCCACATGTAAGTGAAATCATATGGTGCTTGTCTTTCTCTGACTGGCTTACATCACTTAGCATAATACTCTCCAGGTTCATCCATGCTTTTAGAAATCTTGTCTTTAATCCTGGGCAGGATTTGCTAACTCTCTATTGATTGCTTCACAGCCTGCAAAAAGATACAATTTGTTCCTGAGGCGCCGTCTTATGGTAAAAGCAGTGTTGAATGATGATGCTTATGCTCTGGATGGCTGCAGTGATAGTCTGTGTCATTTTTATGCCAATGAATTGTATTGACTTGGGGGGGTGGGTCTTTGTTACTGGTTGCTATTTCCCCGCAACTGAAACTTTAGAATGGTGATTTTTAATGTCTTTTTTTTACCTGATTAAAGCTATGGAACCTTTTCATAAAAAATGGGTATATGTGTGTGTATCATACATGCATATATACATACACACACACACACAATTTACATAGTTTCAGAGGTTTATGAGCCCCCATCAGGAACCTAAGTCTATGCACTTCAGAATAACTACCTCATTCAAATAAGAGGCGCCCTGACATTTGGCTCATATATAGGCATTTCTAATAGCAAATCAAATATAAACACAAACACATCCTCATACACACAATGCAAAATATGATTTTAATGTCATATCTTGGGCAAAACAAAAGAATGATGAGTTTTAATAGTAATTGGTTATATGTAAAAAAATGATCAGGTTTTTCTGCCCCGGTGGCTTCAACTAGTTTTTGTTTGTCTTGACATGTACATCATGGTGATTTATAAGGTTACCAATGAATTTTTTCACATTTTAAAATATTTTACAGTTTATAGTTAGAGCACAACATAATAACAGAAGTTTGTTGGCTTTTAGGAGAAGGGTAGTATAACCCTCAGGAAAAAAATTGAAATCACTATTCTTCTAGCTATTTTGTTTATTCCTTAATAGCCAAATACTCTGAGTGTAATTTTTGTTGATTTCTATGTGCACATCTTCTGTTACCAGAACTCTCTGTGGACCTAGATTTAGCTTGTCCAAACAATAGGAGTACTTGTAAATATATGTTGTTTTTTAGTAAGATATCATGCAAAATATAGCTGCTACAAATTTAGAACAAAAGGATATTTGTTTTTTTCTCTATTATTTGCTTTGATTACATTTAGTCTAATTAATGTTTTTTTTCCTGCCCCAGTTGGCTTCCACAAATTTTAGTGAATTTCTTGTTAATACGATGATTTACAAGAGAGCTCCAATATGTATTGTTTACTTTTACATTTTTTAGTGATTTGTATTCAAGGTATAAGATAACAGTTCGGGTTTTCTCAGGTTCCTTTACTTTCTTATAGGAAAAGGGAGATAACTATGTAATCGTTTGGGATACATAAACTCAGACATAGCATTTGATTTACTGTATTGTGATATTTAACCTTCAGACTCCCTAAATATTTTTTGTTTCTTATTCCATTTTCCCACCCATTTCCTTCTGTGCATTGGGAGCTACTTCTTTCTCAGACACATCAGCTTTGTGTTCATACAGATAAAATACAGTTACTCTGTTCATAGACCACAGATCATACATGAGATTTCTGTCTTATTTGCTTGTGACTGATCTACATTTATTTCTTTTTATGGGAGGACTTTCTGGCCTGACTGGTGGAAAACAGCATAGAGCACCATAAAAGAAACTCATTAACTGATATGAATACCAGTTATGAAAATTTAAAAATCTAGCTCTTCACTCAATGGTTAGATACATCAATTGTCTATATTACAACTTTACATCACAGGGTAAGAGAGATCCCTGACACCCACTGCTATTTACATCATTTTAAGTATTATATGCAGGCTTTCCAAGTATTATCTATTACATATACACTATGAAGAAGACCAAATTAGTCAAAAATGAAATCCCTTCTTTCTGATGCTCTCTAGTGTTTTGCAATTTTGAAAGGGAAGGCACTAATGAACTATACAACATGTAAAAGATGAATTTGAAACTTTGATTGCTATACTGAGAGAATTGATAACACAAATTTAAACAAGGATTGATTTTGGCTCACCTAAGAAATTGTTGTTGAGAGGAGATTTGCATGAGACTTGTACTGAAGCCAGCAGCAATCTGCTTCCTAATTAACTGCACCTTGGTTTTATTTTAACCCTTAGAAAGTTGAATTAGAATATGCCAATTTTATGAAATCATAGTGTAGGTATTAATCATAAGTTATTTTTGATAGATTCATTACTTAGTCTATAATTAAATACTCTTAAAGTAGTGTGTGATTTTTTTTTTTGAACTAATAGGCATGTTGTTTAATGAAGATAACAGGTCTCTTTCTGAATATGCATTTTGGGATCAATGTATACATATGTTAACTTTGTTTTGGTATAATTTCACCATTTTTGTTGTGTGTGCATGTTGTTAATATACTTAGTTTCATCTTGAGTCTTTGTTGTTTAATATATATATATATCCTTTATGGATTTTCATTTTCTAAAACAAGCATAAATTTCTGTTGATGAAAACTGGTTTTTTGTCTTCACCTGTCATATTAGGACTGAAAAAAGTGAGATGGTGACCAATTTTTAGCAAATAAGGATGTCATGCTTTTGCCGTTTGAAAATAAAAATATAATTTTAAGTTTGTTTATGTCTCCTACAGTTTCAAAAAGACAAACAAAGCAAAGACTCTATCTTCTTCCGAGATGGGATTAGGCAAATTGATTTTGTGCTTTCTTATGTTGATGACGTAAAGAAAGAAGCAGAATTAAAGGCGGTAAGTACTTATGTGAAAGAAGTGGAAATGGTAAAAAAGAAGCACATTCTGTAATTTGATAGGGAAGTTCCCAATGGATTTTGTCGTAAAAGTCAGAGGCCTCTGAAACATTACCGAAAGCTAAAACTGATTAAGAAGACTAGAAAATAGGCAGCCTAAGAATGGATGTGTAAAATCAATTTTATTTTTTGGACATTTCGGATACTACTTTTTTTCTTCTAAGTTACTGATATGTTTTTATATAGTTTACCTTAAATACTAAATGTGACCTCTAAAATTTGAGTTGAACATCTAAATATATATCTTTTGTATGCAGTGTTCACTTAAACTTTCATTAATCTATTGTATATGAAATAGCTTTTAGATTATGCTCTGTTCCCTATCTTATTTTCTTTTCATTACCACATTTCCCTTTGTGAACTTATTTATTTATTTTTTTACTTATTTATTGTATCAAACACCATAAACTATTTAGTTCTTAACACCAAGGACTTTATCTTGTTCACTGCTGTATACCAAAATGCCTAGAACAGAGGTTGGAGCGTAATAAATGCTCAATAAATATTAGATATTTCAAATAATGAATTAATACATTGTTTCATATGTGTAAGTATACACACGCATTTACTAACATACTCATATAAGAAAAAATATCTTCTATAGAATAAAAAACAGAAAACTGTAGATATTTTCCCCCTAAGATCTTGTGCTTGCCCGTTTCTGTTCCTTTTCTTTCATCTTTTCCTGGAAATCCTTCCACTGAAAAGTGCACAGTATCATCTCTTCTCTGAATGTCTCCTTCACACCTGGCTCCTCATTGAGGTCGCTTGCCTTCCCCAGCGGTCCTCTCACGTGGCGATTGTGTTTTTCCTTATAAAGCCTTTTTCTAGAGATGGGTAAATGCCTGCCTGCCCTGCTTGTAGTTTATTGTTGATTACAGTCCATTCTCCCCAAAATTCCAGAGCTTTAAACCTTACCTGAGTTGTCACTACCATGCATTGTTGCTGTCATTAATCTGCCCCTGGGTCTTCCCTTTATTTCTCAACAATTTTAGCCCCTGGTTCACTATCACATTCTCCACCAATGTTTCTTTTTTTAATTATCAATAATCTCAATGCATATATAGATGATTATTTTGTCATCCTAACCTCTCTCTTCCTTGAACTCCCTTTTCTAATTATCCTAGTTTCTGACTCAGCCATTTACCCTCTAGAATGCATCATTAGTGATAACTGCAACTCTTTATAATCTCACTCCAGACATTCATCAGTCTGACCAACCCTTCAAATCTTTCTGACCAATGCCTTTCTTTTTTTTCAGCTACATCAGATAAGGTACAATTATCTTAACCATCTATTTACTGCTGTTTCATATTCACCTCTTTCCTGTGGTTGTCCAGGTTAAGTCTTATGTCAAAAAATCTAATTATTGTTTAAACCATCAAATTCCTTGCCCCTCTCTTGGTTATATTTACTTGGCAAAACAACAACTTTAGCTAACCCTAACTCTCCACCTACTATATGCCAGAAGCATGCAGAAAGAAAGACATACAGTTCACTTACTGATTTTACCTTGTATTTGTGCCCTCGGATCTCAACTACGTCCTTAATACTGCCTGGCAACCGTACTTTCCTTCCTTATATCATTCTGCTCCCGCTCTTTTGAATGACTGCTTTATTAACTTTTTCTCTCTCCTCACACCTCCTCCCCATTTTCAAGCTTAACTGACCATACTTTCCTACCTCACTGGGAAAACTGAAGTAGAAGAGAAATTCTAAATTTCCATCACCACATCCATCCATTGGACAGCATCTTCACCTGCATAATCTACCATTCTTCCCATTATCATAGAAAATTGTTCTTCTGCCCAAAGCCAACACCTCCACCTGCGTCCTGGATCCCATTTCTTCTTGTCTGCTATTGAGGAGTCACCAAGACCATGGGTGGAGTCACCTTCCACCCATGCACTGCAAGCACTCACAGGGGACTGCATAGAGCCATACTCAGTAAGCAACAAGAGGGAAGGACGCTTGGGGCAAAGCCCAGAGGAAACCAGAGCAAGCTTACAAGAGTTTTCTTTCAGTGAAGTCATTTGTACAGAATGCACTTAATTCCTCTGGTAACAGGAAGTGTTGTCTACTAGGGAAAATCATTAAAGACTCAGTGCCCTGATTTTATTGGGGGCTGATCAGTCACCTTCTCACCTTCTGCCTAGCACATACCAACATGTCATAGTCCCAGAAGGAAAGCAGACATTTAGTATAAACTACACTGTTTGTGTGAACAGTTAAGGTCAAGTGAGCAACTTTTGGGAGATGTTGTTCCCAAAAGATGTGGGAACCCTTCTGAAAACAAAGTGTCAGATATCGGCACCACCCTTGCAGGCAGGCCGTTCTATGGGTGGCAGTTTCAAGCCTGTAACACTATTTTCTGTATGCCTGCATTGGGACATTGCTCTTAGGAGTCTTCCTGTCTCCCTTAACTTATATATTCTGTTGTTCTTTACTGGACCATTTCTTTGAACACACAAATTGTGCTGTTAATTCTTCCAAACATATTAAACAAACAAAGAGCAAGAACAAAAACCGCCTCTTGATCTCAATTTTACTGCCAGCTACTATTTATTTCTCACATTCCTTCCTGACCAATTTTCTCGTAAAACCATTTTTATCAGGGCTTCAACTCAATTACTCTGCTGATCTTCGTATAAATGAATCCAGTGATTAAGTCACAAGCCTCATCTTGCCTGACCTATGAGTAGAATTTGCCACAGTTTATCATTTCCTTCTCTACTGCTGAGGTTCTTCACTTCGCTTCCAGGACTTCACATTGTCTTAGTTTTTCTAATTCACTAGTTGTCCCTTCTCAATCTTTTCTTCTCCCTGATCCCTTATTGTGCCTTGGGGTCCAGTTCTTAATCTTCTTTTCTCAACCTACTGTATTTTGCCATGTATAATGTGCACTTTTTTGCTCAAGTTTTTGAGGGAAAATAACGATGCACATTACACCTGGGTATAATGACCACATACCATGGGCATAATAATCCTGTGTATAATGTGCACAAAACCATGGGTGCACATTATACACAGCAAAACATGGATGTGTTGATTTCTTTGACAATACATCCTGTCTCACAGTTTGCAAACCATACCTGTGCTAATTAGAGAGTTTACTTTTCCACCCCGTCCTTCTCTCCCATATGACTATTCTGCAGTTCTCCTTGGAAGCCTCATAGACATCTCCGACTTGGCAGGTCTAAAATGAATTCCTGAACTTCTCCCCAAATCCTCATCCATCTGAAAGTGTTCCCCATCTACTGTTATACCTCATCAATTTCAATAGTCACCAAGGACGTAATTTACATGATGCTGTAAGTGGTCCAGTTAAATTATTTTTTTAACATTTATCAATAAAAAGTAAATGCAATAGAAGTTTGATACCCACCATCCTTCATTTAAAAAAATAAATTAAATGAAGAGCCCTGACCGGTGTGACTCATATTGGTTGGGTGTTGACCCAGTGAGCAAGGCCTCACCATTTTGATTCCCAGTAGGGGCACATGCCTGGGTTGCGGGGTTCTGCCCCTGTTCAGGGCACATGCGAGGGACAGCAGATCCATATTCTTCTCTTGAATTGCTGTTTCTCTCCCTCTTTTTCTCCCCCCCCTTCCTCTCTCTCTAAAAATAAAGAAAAAAATAACAAATTATATGAATAAACCCTTCTTTAACACTTGAAATTTTACATCCTTTATTTTTCTCCTTCACCTAAAAGTTATATCCTTTTCCACATAAATTTTTCCTAATGTAAATGTTTTATGTTTGATAGTCTTTTTTGTTCATCACATCAGCTACAGCAAATGTATGTATTCACATTGAAATGTCTTTATTTAGCTATAATAGTCTAATCTTTAAACTTTTTCTTTTGAGTTTTTTACAGTTGTACAGGTGTATAATTGATAAAACATCATGAATATATTACAAAATTTGACAAGTAATTATCAAGTATAAAAAGTAAACTCATCGTAAATGTGTCAATTAACAATATGGGAAGTGTAGCTTTAAGAAATACTTTCTTTTTCATAGGTGGATGAGAATTATTCCTAGAATGAGATGGTTCAGCATCAAATATATTCCTGTTTTGTTTTATATATATTTATATATAAATATATATAAGTGTGAATTAACCTTGTTCAGATAAATTGGTATATTGGAATAGAAAGAGTATTGTTTAGAAGTTTTTAATTTTTTTTGAAATCCTAAATTATAAAAATTACAAAAGGATGTATCATAAAAGTAACATTTAATGGTGTATGAACTAATAATTCTATTATCTCTGCCTTCCATTTTGTTGAACTCAAAGAACTGGTGACTACATGACTTGCAAAATTACTGTAATGAGTTATTAACTTTTTAAATATTGATATTTAATGCTCCCCCCGTTTTTGGTTTCTGTCTGCCTTATTTTGGGGACATAGGAGAGGGGCAACTATGAAAGGGCAGCTGAGACAGGAGAACTGCACCTGTTCTCAGATGCAGTAAACATTGGAAGAGGAGGACAAGAACACACTGAAATTATCTTTCATTCTTGTGAAGTTTGAATATATCTCAAGGTAGACCTATCAGTTTGAAGGCACGTGTCCTCTAACATTTTAACGAAGCCTTTTAAAATTTTAGTTATGAAATTTGTCACTATTAATTCATACTTAAAGCCAAATGATTTTTCAGCAACCAGTACATAGTTTTGAAGCCCACAAGCAATGATTATTTGCATTTAATTTAATTTTACTCTTTCTAAATGAAGCAATTCTATTCTTCAAGATCAAAAAGTCATGATAATATTTTGGCTTAGAATTGTATTAGGTGTCTCAGCTATTTGAAGGGTACTGTAAGCTTTGTAATACTATTTCTTCCCAAATAGGAGCATGATCTGTTTCTCTGTTTATTCAGGTTGTTTTCATGTTACTTAGTAAAGTTTTGTACATTTTTCTCATCTAGAAATCCTGCACATTTCCTGGAGATTATTCCTAAGTATATTGGATTTTTCTAGTAACGCTGTGAAATGATAGTCCTGGTGAAAAAGCAGGGCATGGCCCTCACATGGGGGTGACATGTGGCATGCTTTCATGTGAAACCGTGGGAAGGGCAGGGCCATGGAGGCATGGGCATTGTGCAACAAGTCTGTTTATTACTGTGTGAATGAAAGTGTTCTACATAATTCTATTGGTTTGTGTTTCCATAGGAAAGGAGAAAAGAGTTTGAACAAAATCTCAGAAAAACGGGTCTTGAGTTGGAAATTGAAGACAAAATGGTAAAAATAGTTGATAATTTATACCAAATCTTGGCATTTTAAATGTTGTTTTCTTCTACTCTGGTCTTCGAATAGATAGGCTTTGTGCTTGGGAGTAATACAGTAGTTTTTTTAATTGTTTATTTTTTTACTTTTTATTTTTGGCTCCAAATGCTTTGTACTGAGAACAGTAATGATTGGTTGTCCAGATAAGTTGGTCTTTGCTCTATGAGATGATGAGTAGAAGAACACTTTAAAAATAAATGTAAATAATTCTACTGAGGATACAAAGAAAGTGGAGACATGTTTTTCCATTTCATAGCTGTCTCATCTTGAAGGCTGCCTGTAATCTGGCACCCAGTCTAGTTAACCTGGCTGTCTTGTAGCACAACCGATATTTAAGCTAAGGAACCTCTCCTGCTCATGAATATGACAAGTTTTGTTTTTTTTTTAACCCCCCTAACATTTACTAGTTTTCTAGAATGTCCTGAAAAATTGTTTTTCGAGATACATTTAAGATTGTACTCTGTCCGTGAAACTCTGATATTCTCTTCTTTTAAATGAACAGTCTTTACTTCTTACTTATCCTGTTTTTACTGAACTAGTAAATGTGCATTATCCCACACAATCTATAACATAATTATTCTCCTGTTTAACGAACTCTTACTATCTAAAATTCTCCCTCGAGGTATAGGCTATATATAGAAGCTAGGTAAAAAGAGTGAGGGCATCTTATACTTTGTATGTATCCTGTGTATACTCTAAGCACTGAGCTCATGGCTAGTTGCTAAATTCCTAAGAGCTTGCCCAGAACACATATGTATCTTTGGATTTTAGGCTAGTATACATTGACCCTGAAATGTATTTTTAAAAATATTCTCTTTGCCACCCCCATCTCTCTCTCTCTCTCTCTCATTCTCACACACACACAACATATACAGTACATACATGTAAGTACATATACAGGATATTACTGTGTTGAGCATTTGTTCTAAAAGTTTTGCTAAAAATTTTTAATAAATTAAAAATGCTGTGACATCTTTAATTTCTGATTTTATACAATTTTTTTTCTTTCCCTTAGTTATCTCATTAACAAACAGAGCAGTAAGCTTTGTTATTTTGCCTCCTTTTTATACAGAACTCGGAAGATGGAAGAACTTACTTTGTCAAGATCCATGCTCCTTGGGAGGTATTAGTTACTTACGCTGAAGTGTTGGGAATCAAAATGCCCATTAAGGAGAGTGATATTCCCCAACCTGAGAACATCCCCTTTAGGTTTTTGCTTGGGCCTCTGAAGCTCGCAAGGAATGTGAAGCATCCTCATCCTGAATATTTCACTGCCCAGTTCACCAGACATCGGCAGGAACTCTTCCTCATTGATGACCAGTCAAGCTTCTTTCCATCCTCAGCAAGAAACAGAATTGTAGGTAGAAAAAACCTTTGTGTGTATCCCTTCAAGTAAGGGATGTATGCCTTTGTTTTCTTTTATATATGTGTGCGTGCTAACCTATGTCTGCAAGGTGTTTATGTGTAAATTTGGTAATTTATTTAGTGATCCTGGGCAGGTTTGAAAATCTGCTTGAACCACTTAAATGTGTTAACCTCCCTACTTGTTTAAAAATGAATGGTTGGTGTTGTGGACATAGTAAAGAAAGAAGCATTATGTAATACTGGGGAAAGCATTTAATGGAGAGACAGAACTTTGATTTTGTAAGATCTCTATATAATGGTTTTATGTCCTTAGAGTTTGGTTATGTAATTCAATGTACAGTAGGAGGCATATGGGTCATTCGAAATGGAAATGGAATGTTTTAATTTCTGTATATGGAGATAGCATTTGAGAAACTTCACAACTTTTGGTTTTCATTTAAAACCATTTTCAGCCTTTTGAATAATATTTCCTCTCCATTTGTAGTCCTAGGATCTTTAAGTTCACCATTAAAAACCTCTCTCCTGAAGACTCACGGTGTCTGTGCCACAATTTCTTTGTGTTATAAGATAGGAGTGATATCTACCTCATCGGCTACCCTGAGAGTTCACTGAGTTTAGATATGAAAGGCTTTGAACAGTTTCTGGAACATACTAAGTAAATTCTCAATAAGTGCTGGATACTATATTATTGATGTACTTGTAGAGGGAAAAAATTCAGGTTCTTTGTTGCTCCTACTCTTACCTGTTCCCTGTCGATGGAATTACCAGGGTTCTAACAATCACAAGACCCTTCCCCTTGATCTCCTTACTCTGTTTCCCTGAGCAGCTGGGCACTTCATCTCCTTTAGGTTCAGTACTCTTAACTGTCTTAGAAGGATTTTGAAGTAATCATTTTTTTTCTAGTTCCTACATTTATTTTTTTTAAATTCACTGACAGGAATATTACACAGCAAAAATGCCTAGAATTAATGTATAAAAATGTGAATCTACAAACTAAAAATTGTCTCCCTTTTCTTACCAGGATTAAAAAACAACAACCCTAAAAGGCAACCTATAAGGGGATAAAGAGCACATGACATGGAATCAGAAAACCTGGTTTCACATCCTAACTCTGCTACTTTCTAAATAACATAACCTCTCTTAAAATAGGGATAATGATAATACTGGAATTCCTGGGAGGATGAAATGAAAGGATGTATTGTATATGAGACCATCTGCAAACTATAAATTACTTCAGATATCCTTGTTACAGTAAAAAGTAACAAAAGGCCAGCGAACCTGCAGAAACAAATTAGGAACTTGATCAGGAATAGAAATGTCAGTATTCATTTATCATGACTTGTTTTTTGTAAAGAGTGTCAATACCTTAGGTTAATTTAGTATTAAAGCTCAACAGTTTCCTCCCCTAGACCAATACTATTCTTGCTCTATTGAGGAAGTTATTCGAGAGGCTAATGGAGAAAAGTCACTTCCTTACTAACCTCACCCAGTACACTCTAGTTTATGCATATGCAAATTGAACAGTGTTAGAGAGCATTTTACATGGGCATAGAATTTTATATTTTTCAAAGCATATTCACAACCGTCATGACATATGTCTCTCACAATATGTATTTTGTAACATCTTGCATAAATGTAACAGCTGTTGAGTTTGTTTTCAACTTTTCTGATATTGCAAACAATTCTGCAGTTTACAACCTAGTATTTACATATTTCAATATATATGTAAATTTCTCTGCAAAATGGATATCACATATAAAATTTCTGGATTTAAAGGCATGCACATTTAAAATTTTATATATATAGTACTGTCATGCTTTATAAAAATATGTATTAATTTAAAGTCCTTATAATATAAATAGAGCAGAGCCACAGTCATAAGTGTACATCTCCCTGAATTATCTCAAAATACACAGCCATGTAACGACCACCCACATCAAAAGAGAAAATCATTCCGGCATCCCAGAAGCCCTAGGGCCTTCTTCCAGTCTCTGGTCCCATCCTCTTCAGCAGAGGTCAACTCTCACCTCTCACAGCAGAGATCAGTTGAGCCTGTTTTTAAAGTTTTTAAAACTTGACAGCACTTGGCTCCGCATTTATTTGGGTGATTAATTCAGTTTTGTATGAGCTTCTGTTCATTCATTTGTGTTGCTTCTTATGGAAATTTATTTGTGTTTGTGTTATGGTTTTACTTTTCATTTTTCTGATAGAAATGAGGTTGATCTCCTTGTATATGTTTATTAGACGTTTAGATATGCACTTTTTATGAAACCCCTGCTAAAGCCTCTTGTCTGTTTTTCAGTTAGGTCTTCCCTTGTTGATTTGTAAGACCTGTTTATATATTCTTATACGAGCCCTTTATTTATTATATATTTTACTGATCTTTTGTTACTTTGTGCTTCCCTTTTCTTTTAATGGTTTCTTTTGATTAACAGATATTTTTAATTTTGATGCAGTCCACTTTCTCATGCCTTTATGTATAATGTTTTTAAACCTTCCCACCAAGACCATGAAGTTAATTTCCTATTTTACTTTCTAGGAGTTGTGTTATTTTGCTTTTCACATTGAGGGTTGTCCACCTGGAATTTAACTTTTGTGCATGGCATGGGATGGAGTCCATTTTTCCCCAAATGTATACTAATTTAACTTGCACCAATTCCTGAAAACATTCAATATTTTTTATACTATTTTACAATTCTACCTGTGTTATAGCTCAGGTATCTAGATACTCATGAGTCTCCTGCTGGGCTTGATTCTGTGGCTTTGATCTCTCTATCTTTGTATCAATGCTGACACCACTGACCCTGGCCAGTGTGGCTCAGTTAGTTGGAGCATCCTCCCTGTAAACTGGAAAGTGGCGGCTTCAATTCCCAGTCAGAACATGTGCTCAGGTGGCAAGGGTTAATCACTGGTCAGGGTGCAGCATGCATTGGAGAGACAACCAGTCGATGTTTCTCACATCAATGTTTCTCTCCTTTTGTTTCTCCCTTCCTTCCCCTCTTTCTAAAATCAGTAGGCATGTCCTCGGGTGAGGATAAAAAAAAAAAAACCCACCAACAACAACAATTAACAATATTAAACTTTATCTGAGTTCTCTAGCCCTATAAAACAGGGACATTTAAAGAAATCTCCCACTGTTCACATTCCAGGAAACTGCTTGTTATAGGGGAAACTGCTGGCTGTAGAGAACGGCCCTTCTGCATGACTTAAAGAATATTCATAGATAACCTCCCCTCTCCCAGTCTGACTCGACAGAACCACTTGCCACCATGTTCAACCTAAATTCACCTCGTGATTGAAGTGTTCATCTGGGTTAGTTGTCGTTATCCAAAAAATAAACTTCTCACATCTCTGTGTCAAGCAGATAGTTAAAATTGGGAGCCAGGGGCCCAGGCTACACTCCCATAGAACAGGAAGATAATGATACTTTCTTTCTTGATGTGTGTATTTAGAGGAGACAGTTCTCAGAAAACTTAAGAAAAACACTCCTGGGTTGTCAAATAGCAAGAGGCTTACTTAGCTTTTTAAAAGACCTACATAAATCAAAAGGGTAGAGAAAGAATTTATAATTACAAGTACTCTATAGGAAATGCTCTAAGAAAAGAGAGTTGGAGGAAGTCTTAATTGCTTTTGGCACCAGGGAAATTTCAATACACCTATACTTACCCTTATGATATCTGCCCTTTGTTATTACTTTGCAGTAGTAAGGGTCAGACTCAGACCCTCCACATTCCCATTCTTTGTTTCATGAAAGTTTAGCTGAATTATTTATCCCCGTGTAATAAACTTTAATGAAACTTCTCTCTTCCCCACAGGACCCTAAACTTTGACTTACCCTTGACCTAAGCCAACATTGGCATCGAGAATAGCCCTTCCTTAACACAATGAAAGACTCTCCCTGGGTCCGGCCTTCTTCTCCCTGTAAAAGAAAAGCCCTTTCTGCCTAACTTTGCAAATGCTCACAGATTTCCCCATTGCAATAGTCCACCTCACCCTCTTACAATAATTTTTTCAAATAAAATCTTTCCTAAGTCTGGATTTGTTTTTACTTGACGATACCATGCTGAATTTATTACCATAGTTTTATAATAAATGTTAATATCTGGTAGAGTAAAATTTTTCTTTTTGTTAACACCCCAAGACAGAGTTCTTTTGGTGAAGTTTTCCTAAGGATATAATTCAAAGTATGTACAATACTTGATATATATCACATTATTTTTACAAGTTAAAGCTACTTTACCTAAATTAAGATTCACCAAGGTGGAATCTTAAGCTCATCTTTAACGTGAATAGCCAGATTAGAGAACGGTGATTCAAGGACAACAATCAATCCAATAAACAGTTTCTTTAATGATAAAATATAAAAAGGAGGGAAGGGAAATACATCTAAAATAGTACTCAAAGGACCAAATTCAACAGTCAGAAAAGCAGAAATTCTGAAAAGTTGCTGGAACACAAAAAGCAGGTAAGATTGAATTGACCGAAATACAAGAGCTAATGACACCAAAGCCCAAATGATAGGGAGAAGAAAACCCATGTAAAGAATATATGTGACTGCAAAATAGTTACAGAGGTATGATAACCTTGAGTTAATAAATGTAGATATCAAGAAAATGCCCTGTATAAATATCAGAGTAATTAATAGAAGAATTATTCAGACAGCTTGCCCAAGTATCAGTTCTACTCCACATTCCCCTAATTGAATTGTTAGTTGTAGTGATATTACAGTCCAACTTGAAGCCCTAATTGTAATAGAGGTTTGGGCACAAGAGACTCCCAGAGGAACTTGGCACAGGAAAAGCACAATGAACTATGATTCATTCTCCACTCTTCCCAAGGCCCTCATACCCAGGAGCTGAAATACTTGCAAACCCCGCATGCCCCACCCTCTGCATCTTCCCCCAAATGACAAAGGAAAGGTTTCTTCTTTAATCAGAGTTCTTACCAACATTCAGATGAAGCAGACGTTGTTAAATTTGATTGGAAAAAAATGTAGAAAGCATACATTTATGAAATGTGTGTATCTTTATGCTTACCTTATAGGTTTATTATATTCTCTCACGATGTCCTTTTGGCATAGAAGATGGGAAGAAAAGGTTTGGGATTGAAAGACTTCTAACTTCTCACACTTACTCATCTGCCTATCCACTCCATGATGTAAGTGTCAGCTTAGTTTTTCTTTTTTGACAGGTTGCTTAATTCTCTCACATGTTGGAAAAATCCCCAAAGGTTCCCTTGTTGCAATCTGAGAGTTTTATCAGCAGTGCTGAAGCACATAATACCTCTTCACACTGAAGTATTAATAGAAATTCATTCTGGGAAAATTTTACATTTGCATATGACTTTTCTTTAGGACCCATAATGAAAATAGCATTTTTAGTGAAAGAACAATTTAGGACATAATATGTGGAATTTCTATCTGAATTCATCAGATCTTTTCTTATTTATAAAGTTTTAAAGCTGTAAAGACTTAAATTATATGCATGAATTAAATGCACTCATATATTCATTCATCAAAGGTATAATTTGTTTTAATTATATGTAAAGCATTCTGTTAGGTATTAGTGGAACACATCCATGAATCACTCACAGACTAGGAATTTCCAGGCAATAAAGTATGTGTAAAACTTCAAAACAAGCTAAAGATTTCAGTCCATAAGCAAGAGTCAGACAAGTGACTGTGATTCAGAAGAATGCTTCTTTGAGGCTGTCAGATCATTGTACAAAACTCTTGAGCTTTATAAGTTTAAAAAAGAAGGGACATTTTATATGGTGCACCTCTTCAACCAAACCTGAAAGCTTGACGGCCTAGTTTCTGGGGGTTTCTGAGGGAAACTTTTTCTTCTGGATACTTTATGTCTAAATATCACTGCCACCCATTGGCAGTAGACATCATATGGCTAAACATAATATGAACTATTTTGAGATCAATCATCCCTTGGAACTTTCATTTTTTTATTCCTGTTTTATTCTTCTGTACTTATAGTAGACTTTTTGATGACATGCTCTCTTTTTGAGAAGCACATTCCTTAGGAATATAGAAAAACCAAGTATTTCCATTTAAACAAGTGGCCTCTACATCAGTGCTCGTTTTCTCGAAGGTAATGTTGCTATAGTAATTTCCAAGAGCCCAAAGCCAAACTCTCTTCTCCAGGACTTAAACTGTTGTGCCAGCTTTTCCCTGGTAAAATTTATTTAACAGTATGGTAATTGTAGACAGCTCAACACTGGTGAGTTGATTATCTTGGATATGCTTCCTATAAGGGTAGAGCAGAATTTTCCAAAATGGCTAGCAGTTTTCAACAGGGGTAGCAATTCAGGTGAAACCCTCCTCCCCACCCCTCCCAACCCTGCTCCTTTCCCATCCCCCATATTTTTTTCTATGGGGCAAAAGAGTTTCTAAAAGATTATAGATTCTAAAAAATGCCATGGGCCTAAAATGGAGAGATCTGTGGTGTTCATAAACATTGACGGTACATTCTTTGTCAGTCTTTTTTCACAAAAGGGCTCATTTCTGTTTTTGAAGATTTTGAGGATTATTTGTTTGTTTTTAGGGCATTAATTCTCTTCTTCCTATTACCAGGTCATAAAGCCAAACTAAAAAGACAAAATATCCTCAGGCACCAGAAGTTTTAATCTCTACATCTAGCATTCCAGTAGAATCCTTCATGCTTAGAAATTAGGTGTTGCTAAGGTGTTGTTATTTACTGATAATTTTCCTTTTTTTCTTTCTTTTCCCCTGGATTCAAGTTTAAGTACTGGGTTTTCCCTTATGTCCTTTAAAAAATGATTTTTCCTGATATGCAAATAGGCTGCTTTTCTTTTTTTCTATTTCAAATTTCAAGATTCAGAGGATTAGCTACAGAAGAAAACTGTTGGAATCTGGAAGATAAAATCTTATACCTTATCATATAGAGATTTTCACATGTGCTTAATTTTAAACTGGATATGTGTTCAATGTTGTCTTCAGCAGTTCACTTGTCTAGGCAGACAGTTAAAAAGAATGTATTGAGCCGCTGTGTATGGTCAGTGCTCTGCTAGGCCCTGAAGAAATGTTAATAACAGTACCGAACAGTGGGGAGGAACCTATGCAGGAAACAGTAGTGAGGCTCCTAAGTGCTAAAGTTTTTGTAAGTATTTTAAGTTCTTTGAGAAGTAGTTGTCAGTGAAAATAGGTTCCCTAGAGGAGATTCCTGTCATAGCAGTAGGACTTTGGGTCATTCATTTGCCTTCTCTTGGGGTTTGTGTTTCAGTCTCTGCAATAACAATGTCGGGTTATTTCTAAAGTCTCATCCAGTTATATAGTTATATGGATCCCTGAGCTGAGAATGGGTGTAAGAAGTTAAAAAATAAATCACTATTATTATAGTTTATTATAGATTTTAGTAAATAATTTCCCATCAGTGGAACATGAAAATCTAAGTCTAAGAGTAAAAGAGAACATTTGCCCCATTCACTCACCTCATGAAAGCACTGTTGGTTTACTTTGCGCTCCTGTCTTTTGCTTTGTCATTCATGTACTTTCTTCCTGAATACCTGTAGGGTCAATATTGGAAGCCATCCGAACCTCCTAATCCTGTCAATGAAAGGTACATACTTTTCCAGAATTGGGCTCGGTTTTCGTATTTCTACAAGGAGCAACCTCTAGACCTGATTAGGTAAGTTCCTTATGTATGATCCTACCAATGATTAAAATTTGATGTGATTTTTATTTACAATGGCATCATAATCCATTCTTTCTTTAATTTAATCTTTATTATATATTTTTCCATTACCATTTAGTCCCCTTATACCCCCCTCCCCCCAGCAATCACTACACCGTTGTCCATGTCCATGAGTCCTTTTTCCTTTTTGCTCAGTCCCTCTACCCCCTAACCTCCACCCCTACTAGCTGTCTTCTTCTCCCCATCTATGAGTCTGTCTCTGTTTTTCTTGTTAGTTCCGTTTGTTCATTAGATTCCACATAGGAGTGAAATCATGGTATTTGTCTTTCTCTGACTGGCATTTCACTTAGCATGATGTTCTCCATTCTTTTTACAACTGTTCTCACACGCTATATTTTATACCTTCCCAGTTTTGTATCTACACTATCATTTAGTCATTAATTTATGAACACATTGCTGTTCAGAATGCTCTTAACCACCTTAAAAAGGTAGCTCAGTGGTTCAGAGGTGGGGCCTTGGTACTTAGGTAGACTGGGTTCAAATCCAAGTTCTTCTTCCTAGAAGCTGTCTAAACTTGTTCAAGTTACTTAACCGTTATGAGGCTCATCTGTAAAACGGGAATAACCATAGCACTTTCCTTATGGGGTTATTTTATTGTTAAATGAGATAGACATGTTTTAGCATGGGAGCTGGCCCTTATTGCTTGATATATAATTCTTTGGTTTTGTATCCCTTTCAGTCCAGGAATTTAAAAGATAGCAGAAGAGTTGTGTATGAGTGTGGGTGTTATGTGTGTCTTGATCTCAAAGAACTGTGAAGACAATTGTTCTATAACCTCAATTTCTTTTTTCTTTTATCTTTGGTCTTAGGCAATTGGCAAGGTTAGCATCTGAGCCTTTCTGAGTTCCATGCTCTCAGACAACTTCTCAGACAGTTTTGTTAGCTAAGCAAGAATACTATGGCTGTAGCCTTCTGCTTTGAACCATTACACTACTACATACATACAGGCTTCCAGGAGACTCCTGCTATGGTTTCAGTAAAGTAATAATCAATCAGAACCAATTCACTTGATGATTTATGCTTCTACTGCGATGGTTGCACAGCATCACAGCATCCTTTTTAGGAGACTGATTTTGACGCATAAATCCAAATCAGTTGAAATATTATCTCAACAGTTTTGTCTATGGCAAATAAGGGGAAACTTTTAAGAATAAAAGGCAACTGGGTATATAACCTGATGCTTTCTCTAAATCATTATATGAACTATTTGTTGGATGGATATTATAATTGTTTTTAGTAATTAAATGGTCATTTAATTTTTTAAATTATAAAATAGGGTATTTACCAAAAAGTTTAATAAAGAGATACACAAAGATTTAAGTTAAATTTCACTTCCATTGAATTCTGCGGTGGTCACTCCTTTTGATTTGGTAATAACCATTCTATCTTATTTTTATGTGTATGTGCATGCATAATAAAATGTGCACTTTTTTCACCTAGAGCAATGGTGTCATTATTTTCTTTTTGTTGAGATTTTAACTTTTTCACTAAATAATACATTATTGGTACCCATCCCTGTAAATATACACTGATCTAGTTCATGCCTTTTAACAGGGCACTGAGTGCCATAATAAAAATTTTATGTAATTTCTTTACCTATTTTTTTGTTGAAAAACATTAAGCTGTCACAAATTTTTTACTGTTAAGATCAAGGCTGCTTAGAACATCTTCAGACATTATTTCTTTGGAGAATATTTTTATAGTATCTTTTCAGAAGTGAAGTTATCAGAATGAAGGTTTACATATTTTATGTTGTTTAAAATATATTGGGAGTATTTATTCATGTAACATTTTAAAACTATCTTTGCTGCTTCCCCAAAGATTTGTATTTGTAACCATAGATATACACAAACACATTACACCTCAGGTCATTGCTGGTTTATCATTGCTTGTTAGAACTTGCAAATTTCTTTTTACAACAAAGTAGAAGTTCAGAAATTTCATCAGATGACAGTGTCAAGCTTAAATTTAACAACTTTTTAAGTTTTTTTAATCCTAGTAAAGTAACTTTTCATTTATAGCAAGCTATACTCCTTTTCTATTTCAATAGTGAGATAATTTTTAATTAAATGTAAATTTTTAACAAAATGTAAAGGATTGACAAAGTACAGTTTTAAATTAAGGAACTGTAAAGGCAAAAAAGAAAACATTGTTACCACAGAGGTAGCTTTCGGAGAAAATAGCTATTATCTCTAGGGTTTCCTTTCAGTGGTTACATATTCCTTATTCTTAGGAAGAGACAATAAAGTATTTAGGGATAAAGGACCATGATGTGTTCAACCAATGTACTTTCAAATGGTTAGAAACAAATTACACACACACACACACACACAAAGGGAAAATGCAAATGGGACAATATTTTTACCATAAAATAATTAAAGGGTATGTGGATATTATTTGAATTATTCTCACAACTTCTTTATATACTTGAAATTATTTCCAAATATGACCTTTAATAAAAATGCGAGTCCAGAACTAGATTCATTTATAGTCAACTGATTTTCAACGAAGGTGCCTAGTTCTCTCTAGGGGAAAGGATAGTTTTTTTCTAGAAAAATGCTATAACAAATAGATACCTATATGAAAAACATGAAACTTGATCCTTTGCTGAGCAAAAATTGAAACTAATATGAAATTGATCAGAGACCTAAATGTAAGGGCTAAAACTATAAAAGAAGAATACGTAAGACAAAAATATATGTGATCTGGAGTTAGGTATCAACTTTTCAAATAAGACACAAAATGCACAAGTTAAGGACTGGATAAATCATTGAAATTAAAAGTGTGTGGACCTTAAAAGACATTGTTATAAAAATAAAAAAGCAGACCACAAACTGAAGAACATACTTGCAACATACATATCAATAAAGGACTCATCTAAAATATTTAAGGAACTCTTACAACTTAGTAATAAGACAAAATGAAAGAAAGATGCAAGTAGTAAGATGTCTGTTTAATTAGAAATTATCAGAAATTTTGAAAACTTCAGAATGGAAGGTTTATACTCAGAGTTGCCTTCTTTTTGAAATTACAATTTAATATTATGTGCTGTAACACATTTCTATGTAACACGCTACTAGGAAACTGGAAAGAATTGATGGATTTGGTGAGCTGACCTACATTCTCTGGTTTCTTGATGGATTCTTTAAGGGGTTCTGGGTGTACACATCCACAAGAAAAACAGTTTCATACTTGAACAGTTATGCCAATTAATGCTGTCACTTTTTACCTTCTTGTCAACGAGAGTTGAACAGTGTATTTTGTGGACCTTTTACTAAGCAGTCACTTGGTGTCCTACCTACCTCACAATTCTCTAAGTATTTATCAGAGATCCAAACCTGGAGGGAGATGGAGCTTTGTACATACAACTGCTTCTGCCTGATGTGGTTGGGGTACCTTCTTCAATTTTCAAAAGGGAGATAAAGTATAAGTCTGTGCAGATTGTGCGTGTACTTTTGATTTGTTAAATTTTAATTGCTAGAAGTTACATTGAAGAATGTTCTCCAGTTTATTTCAAACATGTAAACTCTTTAAATTTAGAAAAAATTTAAAATACTGTATTATTTCAAAATTAAAACTTAACTTTCACTCAGTTGGTCTCCTACTTAGGTGCGTTATCTCTTTTACTCTTTATAGTAATTCTTCGGATAAGCATCATTCTGCATTTAACAATGTGGAAACTAAAGTTTAGAGAGCTTACTAATGTTACCAAAATTATACGTCTAGGAAGCAGTGGAGCCAAAATTAGAATATGGGTTTGTCTGAATGGAAAACAAGGCTGTCTGGACTGTGTCATTTTTCCAGCCTCTAATTCTATCTTTATCCTCTTTTATAGGAATTATTATGGAGAAAAGATTGGCATGTATTTTGTCTTTCTCGGATTTTACACTGAAATGCTGTTCCTTGCAGCTGTGGTTGGCTTAACTTGTTTTATTTATGGCTTATTATCAATGCAGAGTAACACAAGCAGGTAAGTTCAGCTGAATTTTCAACTAGAGAAAAATGTCTTGATCTCATGCTCATTGAAACTGGTGTTATTATTTTTCCTGACATTTGTTTCAGAATGTTTCTTTGTAGTGGCACAGATAACTGATATTTCTGAAAAAGAAATATCAGAAAAGCAACTACCCCTCACCTGGTGCTTTATGAGAAACCTGTTTTTAACTATTAGTTCTGAAAATTCAGTTCCTCAAAGCATGACTTGGCCTAGCACAGAAGTTGCTGCCTCATCCCGCTTCCTGCCAAATGCAAAGCGCCACAAACAGCTGCTCTGATAGTAACAGCTTTGGACTCTCACCCAAACACATATCACTTTTAAAGCTGCTTTGCTGTTCCCTCTGCAGCACAGAAATCTGTGACCCTCAGATTGGAGGCCAGATTATCATGTGCCCACTCTGTGATGTGACGTGTGATTATTGGAGACTAAATTCTACATGTTTGGCTTCGAAGGTATGCATATATTTTGGTAGGTTGAAAGACTTGGAATTTCTTTCCTTTCCTATTGCATTTCCAACTAGTCTTTGTGATGTTATTTTTGTTTTTACAGATTTCCCATTTGTTTGACAATGAGTCAACAGTGTTCTTTGCAATATTCATGGGAATTTGGGGTGAGTATATAGTGACATAAAAAACCAACTTTCTCCATGTTATGTGGTATGGCCCATATGTATAACATACCAATGGTGATTTTAGATCCTTATGGCCAGCATCAATACACTGATAGAGTCCACATCAGCAGTCTTTAGTTCTTTGTCCAAAAAAATGTCTTTATGTATCATCTGCTCATTTCTCTTAGAGACAACATAATTTTTGAAATTTCATATGTATTCAGCTTATACTGTCTCTGAGCTGTAGTAAAAGGGGGGCGGTCAATAAGTAGTTAATTCAGGAGAGAATAAACATAAATATTTGGTGGCTGGAGGATGTTGAGTCATGGATACCAAGTGGAATAAGAATAAAAAAAAGTTACAGAGGTTCAATAAATCGGCATTTGAGTCTAAGTTCCCCGTGGCTAATCCAAGTGCCAGCTTCCAGTTCTATCATAAAAATTTTCCATATAAAATGGAAGGGCCCTTAATTTTGGAAATGTCCCAGGATTTCATCTTTTTCATTTCACATGGGAAGTATAGTGAAGTTGCTCCTACCAATCAGATAGGAAGATATTTTCTGTAAGAGTAGCTCAGAGAGAGGCCTACAGACTTCTAAAACATGTCCCAAAATTCAGGGAAAAAAATAGATTTTTCCTTTACAATTAAAAAAGAATCTTTAGCAAACACAAATATGTACATTTAAAAAATGGGCAAAATACATGAGTAGCTTGGTCTAGACAAAGAGACAACACAATTTGTTGGTGTGTATGTTCAGCAGACGGATTTCAGGGTTTCTCTTGCTTCTGCCCACCTGCATAGTCTAAAGATAGCAGCCCAGATTCAAAGAGAACAGAGGATAGAGAAACCTTATTAACGATCCCTGGCGACCCCAAGTGTGGTAAGTTGGGGTTGCCAGGGATACTCTTCGTGATGTGGCAGCCCTATCCTGTCTCCATTGTTAATTGGAATCCGAAGTGAATGAATGATAGGTGCACACATGAAAATATAGGTAGTAGTTTTCGGTTATTTCCAGTGAGGGAGATTGTTCCCCAACACCAGCCCTACATTTCAACACAAATTGAGGAGCAACCACACGTGGAGCTCCCAGCAACACTGTAAGTATTTTGAGATGGTATGATTATCAGTTGTTTCAGAATAGTTTATTGTAGCAGTGAGTTGGTTTAGTTTTGGCTTTTGAGGAACTTGGCCAGATTATTTGTACAAAGAACTTCAAGGACAAATGCAATTGAGAGTTAAGTTGAATCAAAGAATGAGTTGGCAGTGCAGGTGGGAAGAAACAATACTTGTCCAAGGGATTGAGACCTACAAATACTGTATACTATGCTTTGTACTGAAGGGTAAAAATGGTTTTTTTTTTTAATTGCTTGTTTATAATGAAAATATATACCCACCTTAAGAAGTTCAAACAGAATATTAAACAGGGTTAAAAATAAGATTAAAATGACCAAAAATAGAATAATTCTTTGGCCATGATTTTGGCCATGATTTTTAGAACCCTTTACCCTCTGTGTGTTGGCATGTATGTTCATATAACTTTCCATAAATAGTATAATATTATATATAGTTTTAAATTTCTTTATAGAACAGTGAATGATGGGACTCCTTTTGTAGCAGTGAATACATGCATGTTTTATGTCTATGTATTTATGACTGAATAGAATTGCCTTTAATGAATTTATCATACTTTAACCTGTTCTCTATTGTTGGATATTTAGGTCACCTCCACTCCCCCTCCCCAGTTTTATTGAGATATAATTGTTATATAATAATTTATTAGTTTAAAGTGCACAATATAATGATCTGATTATACATATATATTGTGAAATGATTGGTACAATAAGTTAGTTAACATTATTACCTCATATAGTTACAATTTTTTCTTGTGATGAGAACATTTAAGATATAGTCTTAATAACTTTCAAATACACAGCCCGGTATTTCTAACTATAGGCACCATGCTATATATTACATCCCCAGGACTTACTAATCTTATAAGTGGACATTTGTAACTTTTGACCACTTTGACCCATTGTCCCCACTCCTATCAACCACAAAACTGTACTCTGTTTCTGTGAGTTATAATTTTTTTAGATTCCACATGGGAGACCTTACCATATTGATCTTGCTCTGTATGACTTATCTCACTTAACATAATACCTTCAAAGTCCATGTATGTTGTCACAAATGGCAAGATTTTGTTTTTTTAATTCCATTGTGTATATAAACCACATTTTCTTTATCCATTCATCGAGAGACGGACATTTAGGTTGTTTTCATGGCTTAACTATTGTAAATAATGTTGCAGTAAACAAAGAATATATATTTTGGAGAGAGAGAGAATATATACTGTGGAATGGCTCTTACATTTATCTTAAGTTTTGCTAAGGGATAATGCTTGAATGATTTCACTGAAAAAATAATTTCAGTAAAAGACTGGTTTTGCAACCAAAATCTAGGTGTTAGTAAAAAAGTTAAGTTTTAAATATTCCTTCAAATTACCTTAATGAAGAGAGAACAATGAACCTGGTTTTTTTCCTTTGCATGCACTACTATCTGAGAAAATAACTCAAAATTTTTTATTAGTTATTTCAATGTTATTACATAGTTATGCCAATATTAATAATTTTATAATTTTGTCATCAAACAATAATGACAGAAGAACCATCATGCAACCAAATTGATATTGGCCAGATGGCTCAGCTGATTGGAGCATTGTCCCATACACCAAAAATTTGCGGGTGCGTTCCCAGCCAGCGCACATACCTAGCTTGCGGATTCAGTCCTGGTTGGGGAGCATAAGGGAGACAACTGATTAGTGTTTTTCCACATCCTTGTTTCTGTCTCTCTCTAAAATCAGTAAACATATCCTCAAGTGAAGATTAAAAAAATTATCTAAAAATAGAGGAAACCTACATGATTTGGGGTGATGAACACACAATACAGAATACAGATGATGTATTATAGAATTGTACACCTGAAACCTATATAATTTTATTGACCAGTGTCACCCCAATAAATTCAGTAAAAATAAATAAATGATTTTAAAAAACGAGGAAAACTCGGTTATTTTCTTATTCACTTTATTTCTTCATCTCTTTATTATATTTGTTTTCATACATTTATTTCTCTATAGTCACACTGTTTTTGGAGTTTTGGAAACAGCGTCAAGCCAGACTGGAATATGAGTGGGACCTGGTGGACTTTGAGGAGGAACAGCAGCAGCTTCAGCTGAGACCTGAGTTTGAAGCTATGTGTAAACAGAGGAAAATGAATCCAGTGACTAAGGTAGATTAGAGAACTGAAATGGGTGGTGTGTCTCCACAGATACGCTACTGTAGGTCATCTCTGAAATAATGATGTGCATTTTAACTGCCTTTAAAATATTCTCTCACATGTAAGTCATATAAACTTCTTTACTTACTTTTATGATATATTTTGAACACATACAAAAGTAGATAGAAAAGCATAATGAATCCCAGGATGGATCTGTCAACCAGCTTCAATTAATATTAATTTATGGATAATCTCTTTTTATTTGTACACCTACTCCTCTCTGCCACTAGATTATTTTGAAATAATAAAATATTTCAAGGTATTGGGCTTTAAATATGTAGTATATAAATATGTAGAAATGAAAGTGAAGTTAATATGCAAAAGTAAATTAGTATTATTAAGGTAGTGGGCTTATGAGTGATTATTTTATTAGATCAGATTTTATTCAACTTGTCCCTTTTAATTGATTACAATTATAATCAATTGACTGATTTTAATGGGAAGATCATTGAACTGCTATCTGGGGTGAAAATCTACATTTTTGTATCCTTAACTGGCAAACCAGCTATATGTTGACTGAGTAATTTGACCTCTTAGTAACTCATTTTTTTCCATGTGAAAGTGAATGGTACTTTGCCATCAAACACCAGACTCTTGATTGCATATTCTTAGAGTTCCCACATTTTCATAATCTGTGATCACTTTGTTAACATTTGCTATTAAAGGGAGAACAGAATATGTCTCTAACAGTCTCTTCAGTAGAATCCCCTACTATGTGCAGGACACTATTCTTGCAATATAATACTCAAAATTCTTTACATGGTTTAGGCATTCATTTAACATGGACTAAATTGCACTGAAACATCACAAAATTTAGTAAATATGTAAAGGGGGGAAAACACCTGAGAAAATATATTAACAACTTGGGTGAAATTAACAGTTTGAAATTACAAAATTGTTTAAAAGAGGTATTGTCATACTGATGACATTGTGTGTATCCATATTTCATGGGATACACAAGAAAATAAAAGCAAGGTCTTTTGTCTTTGACAAAAATTATTGGCATAAAAATAACATGTACTGAATGATAACTTCTGACACTAGCTGATAAAACAGTACGTACGTATTGATTCACTGTGAATCATCCACTTAACTGTAATGGTTTTGAAATCAAGAGTTTTTTGACGTATTTGCAGTGCTTCATTAGTGGTTAAGTACAACCAGGGCTCTCACATTTGAGTCCATATCGGGGCACACACAACCATATGTGGACACCGACACATGTTCACCCACCAATATGCACATACACATTTTATGCAGACATATACGCATGTTCATAATCACATACATGCACACATCCTAGGGTTCTGTAGAGCTTGAGGATCGCCTACGCTACCTGTTGAGTTCTGTTTCCATGCAATCTGCCTTGAAAATCTACAAGATGTAAAACCTTATTATTAGATAGAATTATATGATTGAGATTTATGCTCAAAGCTATTTTTTACTGTATGGCAGTATATTTTATGTAGCTGAGAATCTCAGTTGATATAATTACTATCTTTCATTTATGACTTAAAAAGCATGAAAATGGAAAAGTCTGGGCCCCTGACCTGTGTGGAAGGACACAATCCTATGAGTATAAGAAGGAGTCCTATTTAATATCTTGCAGAGCAATTACAGAACAATGCAATTCAACTGAGTTCAGTTGAATTAGAATGAAATTATAACATCATTAAAACATATCTTCTTAAGCAACTGCCCTCCTCTCTACCAGGCCCTGAATACCACTCTAATTCAACATTCAAGAAGTAGTGTGTACCCATTATGTCTCATATCACGTGTAAAATATCTCCGCTAAGAGCCCTGAAGCTTTCTATCTAAAAGGAATGAATCTGCCAGAATGTAGCTTTCCACAAGCTGTAGTGGACCTTTGTGGGAGATTTCTACTTTAACTGAGTTTTGTGGTTTTGACTACTGCTCGGAGTCCCAGCTTTGCAGGTAGATTTTGAATTTTGCTGTGATTTCTTCAAAATTACAGGAGATGGAACCTTACATGCCTCTATATAGTCGGATTCCATGGTACTTTTTGTCAGGAGCCACCGTGACATTATGGGTGAGATTTTAAAAAAACTTATCTCTTTGACATGCTGTCATATGAGGATTATCTCAACAGTTTTATCCGAAATGACTCGTGAGTCTCTTCTTTCCTTTTCCCTCCCGCTCTTTCTTTCTTGAATAGAACTCTTAGATAAAATAAACTCTAGTTTACATGGATGCACTACAATTGAACCTTGGGAAAAAAGCTGGGGTGAAAGAGAGGGGCTTTATCTTAGAGCCTATCCCTCCCCCTCTCCCAGCTCTCCATTAATTAGGTGATAACTTGAAACCAGACCAGCGTAAACAATTCCATGGCAAATTATTTGGTTAGTTTTTAAAAATAATTTATTTATCTTTATCTCCACTTAAAATATCTGCACAAAGAGAAAAAAAAACCCACTTAACCCATTATACCAAAAAAAAACGCTTATACTATTAAACTTCATTATCTTACTGAGGTGGACAGAAGAATGTCTACTTGAAGAATTAAATTATCACATCCCTTTATGAGGGAGTCAGGTTTTCTCCGTGCCTTTTAGCTAATAGATTCCTCGATCACCCCAATCTATTTCCTGCCCTCCCTTGTCCAGATGTGTGCCCCTTACAGTTGGACTTTAATTTTAGGAAAAGTATGTTAACCTCTGGAGAGTTTAGTTGAAGCATAAAAAATTAGCAGTTGTTGACTACAGCTTAGCCTACCAGTCCATATTGTCCCATAATTTCTTATCTTTAACATTACTTGTTAAAAGTATTGATTTTTCTATTTTAAATATGCATTTTCTTAGATGATATAAAAATTATTGAGGAAAGAGGATAGAATAAAATGGGTAACAATCAGTTTGTCTTTGAGGAAAATTCTGGAGTGTGGTCGCAGAAGGACTATTCTATCTGTTATTTCTGGTATTCATTCAATTTGATTCAGTTCCTCAACTTTCAGAATAAAATTCTCTAGTCATTGATACAAAGCCATCCCTATATCTTTGTGTTGTTTTTGCAATATGGGAAATATATAAAACTTATACCAAATCTATACAAATATCTAAATTACCAGGCATATCAGGCCACTAATGGCAACATTCTACGGGGAAATACAGTCTTTGGATGTATTTTTCTTGGGAAATCACTCATCTTCACACACTACATGTTTAACTCCAGTCGAGGGCAGAGGTTGGCAAACATTTTTTTGTAGAGACGCCAGATGTATTTTAGGTTTTGTGGGCCACAAATACTCGCTGGCACATAATTGTATTTATTTTTCTTTACAACCTTGAAAAATGTAAAACACATTCTTAACTCCAAGGCCATGGCAGAACTGGTAAGTCCCAAGGCAGAATTTGACCTTCTGACTAGCTCTTGCTAGAGGACAGGCATGAATACTTCTCTATTTCACACTTACCCAGCCGCCTCATATGCCTTGTCTCTACCTTGGACCTCACCAGTGCTCATTTCCTGCTGTAGGCGGTGAGAGAGACTGACTTGGTTTTCTTTCCATGTCAGAGCTGCTAAATGTAATAGAAGGAGATAAAGAGAACCGAATGTTTAAAAAAATGTATGCAGCACAGGGATGCGGGGACCAGAGTGACCAGTGCTCTGTTTTTCTTCTACAGATGTCTCTTGTCATTGCTTGTATGGTAGCTGTGATTGTGTATCGCCTGTCGGTCTTTGCCACATTTTCCAGCTTCATGGAAAGTGAAGCATCCTTAAAACATGTCAAAAGTTTCCTCACTCCTCAGTTAACCACAGCGCTCACTGGATCATGCTTGAACTTTATTGTCATCTTGATCTTGAATTTCTTTTATGAAAAGATATCTGCCTGGATTACAAAAATGGGTAAGCTGGCCAAATTGTTAGTATGATTCTGAAAAAGGGTTCCTACCAACGCTACATGTCCATTTTTGGATCATCCCCAAGGAAGTTAAATTTTTAAAGGCACATCTAAAGGCAGTTTTGCTCCATAGGTAGACCCAATAGCTTGATACTTCAGTAACCCCTCACAACTACATTCAGGCCCATACAGTGGAAGTAGGAGGAAGAACTAAAAAGAAGAATGCGGACACTATAGGTCTTTGGTGCGGCTAGTTGAATCCTAAGCAAAATTCCTACTTTTCTCAAGGCACAGATAATTTTTATTTCATGTGTATGGTGTTTAGAAGCGATTTGGGTTTGAAAACCATCATGAGAAAAACAGATCAGCACCTCCTTAACAAATTAAAAATTTGGGGCTTCTCTTTTCAGTTGCAATATCTTTGAATCTAGATGACTTTGTTTTTAAGATATTAAAAGTTGTCCTAAAGCCATGAAAGAAGGCGAGGAGGTCGCAGGGGTAGTTGGAGAAAGCAGGGGAAATAGCACAGAGCAGAGTTGCTTCCAGTCTTGCCCCCGGCAAGTTGGAAATCGACCCGAGCCTCAGTGCCTCCTCGGAGTGCGCTCTCTCCGGGAGCCCCTCCTCCAAATCTGTGCACCGCCACCATCTCAGTGACCAGAAGAGCACATTTTTCACGGAGCACTGGAGTGAGCACTCGGAAGCAACTTTGATTAAATATTATCCTCCAATTTGGAGTTCTTCTCTAAAGTTTACTTCTTTTTTTCTGCTAGCAATGACAAAAACATCATAGCAGATAACACCTAAAAGCGAAGTACTTAAAAAATCACAGCTTTCTTCAATGAAAAAAATTACTTGTGCAGTGGTACCTTGGCAGTCGTTAATTTATTCCAGAACTCATGACGAGTACCAAGTACCCAACAATGAAGCACTTTTTCTTGCCGGGTGGTATTGTGACTTATACAGGTTCTAGCAAGTGTGACGAGTCCCAAGCAAGCGATGAGTGCTGTAACATTTTCTTCTTGTCAGAAAGTGGCAAGTATAGGGTTTGATGAATTCTGAAGCCAATGAGTCCTGAGGTATGACCATTCACTTTTGAGATTTTGTAATAATGCAACTAAATTTCACTATAATGGAGGTGTTATCTCTTCCATAGAATAACACACATAGAATAATGTGTGTTAGTATTTCAGTGTCACCGAAATGCCGTGGATTTCATTGGATCAGGTCATCAGCTCAGAAAAACACTCTCTTTTATTCTTTTATGCCATGGAGTGAAAAGAACCTAATGTTTTCTTATCTTTCGGCTTCATTAAGTGATAGATTGTGATAAGGAGAAGGAAAGTGTGGACTATTGCTGCCACCATTTGTGTGACATGGCTTTAAAAATTTACATAACCATGTAATTCATGAGAGGAGAACACAGTTTGGTGTGGAAATTATCCTCTGCCCTTGATATAATTTTACTTTGTTTAAACCTTATTAAAAACCGATGAGAGATCTGATATGTTTGCAGGATATCATTTAGGGTGTAGGGGTGAGCATAGGGCTCTTCAGCCTGATAGGGGTGTGAATTCCACATTCTGTCTGCGTGACTCCAGGCAAGCACTTCAGCCCTGCAACTGAACACTAACTGCTTCCTAGGCTTCCCCAGTGATAAGATTAACACAAAGTCTCTAGTAGAAAACCTAGCACAAATCTAGAGTTAACTTAATATTGGTCTATAATGAGCAGCATGGGAAACATTTCAACAGGCTCCCAGAATAATATGATTAGATACCCATTTGTCCCAGGGAGTAAAAAATATTAGGAAAAAGTGGGAAAGTGCATTATTAAACTTGGCTATTTTTTACTTACCAGAAATTCCTCGAACTTACCAGGAGTATGAAAGCAGTCTGACCTTGAAAATGTTCATGTTCCAGTTTGTCAATTTTTACTCGTCCTGCTTCTACGTCGCTTTCTTTAAAGGGAAGTTTGTGGGCTATCCTGGAAAGTACACATATTTGTTTAATGTGTGGAGAAGTGAAGAGGTAAGAACTCTCTTGAGAGGTGAGGTTTGTGGTCTTGGTAGCTCAGTGTTAATACCTTTTTTTGTGCCCAGCAAAAACTCAGGTTTATTCAAATTGCAGGAAAAGTATATGGCACTGACTCTGTCCACAGAGAATATTGGTCTTAGAATCCTGTCATCTGATAGACATTCCAGTTCCTTTTGGGCAAGAAGTTATTTTTTTGCTTATTGTTGGTAGCAAAATAGGGGCTGTGAAATGGAATAAGAGTTCTGTGTTCCAGAAGGCTTCCAGCAAAGGAAAAATGGGAACTTTCTCTCAGTGTCACAGAAAGGGCTCCGCCATGGGTAGGAGTTAGACCGGATCTGTGGTTTCCAAACCTGGCTGTGCATCCAAATCACACAGAGAAAATAACAACCTCCAGCCCTAACCCAGAAATAAAGTTGCAGAATTTTCTGGGAATGAGATCTAGAAACCTCTTGTTAACATATTCCACAGCTGAATCTAATGCATCGAGCCCGGCACTGGTCTGTGATCATGCGTGGCCTATTGGTCTGGGAAGAGCTAACTACCCCTTCTTATCCTTTTAGTATCCATTTCAACCCAAATCTTCAGATTCTGCTCTTCTGGTGGGAGATTTCTTTTGTTGCCAAAGTCCCATCTTTCATCATTCACTTTTTTCTCTTCTTGCTTCTGACTAGTGTGATCCTGGAGGCTGTCTAGTAGAATTGACAACCCAGTTGACCATAATAATGACTGGGAAACAGATCTTCGGAAACATTAAAGAAGCCATTTATCCGTATGTATGACTTGGAAGTTCTTTCCTGATTTAAATAACCATGAGGGATTTCCTCTGGAGGAAGACAAAATTCTTTGATTATCATGGTTCCTTTGTTAGAAAATCAATTTAAAAAAAGTCACACTTAATCAACAGTCAAAAGCACGAAGGAAATACAGGCTTTTAGATATGCACCTCTGCACCTTGAGTGATGTTGAGGGAAAGGTAATGGCCCCCCTCTCCTGGGGAGGTTGCACTGGGACACACAAATATAATATCCTCTCTGGGTTATTCTGCATGTTGCATATTCTGAAGATAATTATTAAACTCTGTAAAAGTATCCATGTTTCATGGACACATTTAGGCACAAAAATTGGTCATAGATGAAATACTGATACATCTGTGAATACTGAAACTTGAAAGGTTTGCTGTCTGTTCAAAAAGCACAGCAATAATAAATACATTATAAAAAGAGAAAACCAAAAAAACAGTGGATCTAAAATACAAGATGAAAATCCCCCTAAATGAAAAGACATATAATCATAAGCTGCACTCTTGCAAGACTCCTAGTTAGGAAGTGATAGTGTTGAATTTTTTAGCACCTGCAGTATAAAGTGGGCTAAAAATGCTCCGTTTAAACAGGTGACTGGCCAGTTTAACTACAGTGTGGGCAAAAGTAGGTTTACACTTGTTTATATGGAAAATAATACAATAGTTGATAAAGAGTAATATAAAAATAAACTGTGTTTTGCATACCCACAGGTATAACCCAACTTTTGCCCACCTCCGCATATTCTAAGCCAGGGCATCTGGAGTAAAATGGCCTCTCATTTTACTCTTATTTTGCATTTCTCTGATTAAAACCATGAATGAACATCTTATAGCCAGGTGTATTTTCTCTTTAATAAAATGCTTGTTCGTGTTTAACCATTTTTTACTTGTTTATCTTTCTAATTGATTTGTAGAAATACCTTATAACTTCCAATTACTGTGTTTCTGTCTTGTTGGTTATATGTGTTGCAAATATTTTATACCAATAGAAGTTTTGTCCTTTTATTTTTTTAGTAGTGTCATTAGATCACAGTTCCTCAACCTCAGCACTCATTTTGGGCCGGATAATTTTTTGTTGTGGGGGCCTGTTCTTTGCATTGTTGAGATATTTATCAAAATCTTTGGTTTTTACCTCTTAGATGCCAATAGACCACCTTCCCAGATATGACAATCAAAAATGTTTCCAAATGTTACAAATGTACCCCTGTGGCCAAATCACTCCCAGTTGGGAACCACTGTGATAGGTAGACACAAATACAGACATTTAATATAATAAAGTTTATTAATCTCTTCTTTTATGGGTTAGCATATTTTTGTCTTATTTAATAAGTCCTTCCCTACCCCAAGACCAAAAAGATATTCTAATATACTTATTTCTTAGTTTTTAACATCATTATCTTTTAAATTCTTAATATGTATGGAAAAGATTTCGTGTTTGATATGAAGTTAAAATTTAATTTCTTACACACGTACGCACACATGCACACATATCTCTCCCCTTTATCAGTAACACCCCCGGCTCTGGAGGAGGGCTGGTTAGTCAGTGACGGGTAAGACCCCTCAATGGCAGGGGCAGCCTAAGACAGGCACAGCCCCATGGGCATCAGGGAAGAACTTGGGGGACACGAAGAAAAGAGCAAAAGACCCTCACCCCTCGGCTTTGATGTGGCCAGGATCCTCATTCTATCTGAAAGAAGCCTCCTCTCTTGGCAGCTCTGTTCCCCCCACCTGGCTCAGTTTTGAAACAATACTGGAGACAGCCCTAAACTGGATTGGGCTGTTCCCAGGGGAAATCAGGCCTAGAAGTAAATTCCTTGAGGCATGCTTTGTTTTTCCCTGAAAAGCTATGATAACCAGCTCATGCTGGGAAGGAAATTTGTTATTCACAGACCCTGACCCTAAACCCCTTCGCACTCTTATGTTTATGCTCTCATATTTACTCGTCTCATCTCAGACCCATGTAAATCGGTGTGTTCCTGCCATTTGTTTTCTTCAAAACATCATCTCTTCTCTGTAAACATTAACATACTCATGTAATGAGATCACCCATACATTCCTACTACCTAGCCCCCATTGATAACCCTTTCAATAAAAGCCTTTGGACACGGGGACTCGGGGCCTTCTCCACTAGAGGGAAGTGCCACGCCTTTCCCTGGCAGACCAAGAGAAAAGTGTCCGGGATGACTTACTTTCTTTCCCCATCCATGACGACCCAGAGCGTACTCTGTGGGACAGTCTGCCCTCCTCCTCACTGTTGATGTGGTCTGTTACATTGTGTGATTTCCTAATAAAATAAAGATTTTAGTCCTTAAAGTAATCTAACGTGATGATGATTTCTTTTAATGTAATATGGAGTTTAGTTAGGTAATATTTTGTGTAGGATTTTTGCATTTATTTTCATGCTTTAGATAAGCGTCTGCACTTCTGTTGTCATGTGTTTTCTGTTGTAACCAACTTTTCATTTCCTTGAGTGTCCTTCTTAGTATCACAACAATGTAAAGGTTAGTAATTAGATAGAAAAAAACATCCTATAGTGACCCTCTCCTCCACTTGTTCTTTAACAGAACTGTCTCTGAGTGACTATATTTCCATGGGGGGATTCAGTGTTTATATTTTCTTAATCAGCCCAATAAAGAACTTTTGACCTTGGCATGTATTGTGGAAAGAACACTATATTTTGATGTGGACTTTAGCTCTACTTGCTCTGTGGTCTTGTCACTTAACCTCTCTTACTGCCAATTTCTAGATTTAACACTCTGATTCTGTAACCTTTCTTAAAGGCTATTTTATTATATACTTACTTTTATAACTTACAATAGGTTGGTTCTAAATTGGTGGAGACGCCGAAAAGCTCGGACCAACTGTGAAAAGCTGTACAGTCGATGGGAGCAGGATCATGACCTTGAAACTTTTGGATCTCTCGGGCTATTCTACGAATACTTAGAAACAGGTAATTTTCAACCACTTGTACTGAAACAGAATGAGGCTGAGTAAAATAAGTGCTTTTTCAGCTCTTAGTATTTCATTCTGCCTTGGATGTAGGAGGTGTTTAATAAATCATTGGACAATAGATGAGAAGATGGATGAATATAGAAAACATTGGTTCAGTATTGACTTTATGTTGAAGACTACGTTGTGTGGTATCAGGAATTGTAGCCCCATGCAAGCCAGGCCTTAAAAGAGCCTGTAAGTCTCGGCTAGAAAACTGGAGATGCTGGGTGGCAGGCAGGACCCGATACTGCCATGAGCGTTACCCTGGGAAATCTGGCCAAAAGAATGCATTATCTTTACTGAACCTTGCTCCGTTTTGCACTGCCCTGATAAGGAAAAATCAAGTGTTTAGTCTCAAAGCAGGAGAAAAGATTCCTGAGCCCCTGAACCTTAGCTTAATAATCATCTGTAATCAGTATGTCTAACAGACCCTAACCCAAGGCTGATCTATGTGTTCCTCTTACTGTTATCTATAGCTCTCTGTCGTGGATTGATAAGCTTTACATGTATGCTGTATACCCCTGCACATATCATTCTCAATAAAAACCATTTCAGAGACGGGCTGGGGGCATTCTCCTCTAGAGGGAATCGCCACCCCCTTTTCTTGACAGGCAAGTAAGTGTGGAATGATTAGTTATTTGACCCGCAGTGAACCAGGGGACTTCACGGGACAGATTTCCCACATCTGGTGCCTGAACAGGGACCCCACAACTTTACCCACCAGATAGAATGTGGAATGAAGTTTAGCTTCAAAGTGCCAATCTTAGATATATTTCTCCTATCAAGTGAGTGTTAATATTGAACAAAATAAAATAAGGACCACTTTTTAAGACCTGACTCAAATGAACTTAAGTAGCTATTTCTCCTTTTGTTTGCTTCAGTGACAGCTCAGAGAGAGAATAAGTTGAAACACATTTTCAGCAACTGACATACATTTACTGTTTCCTTTATTTCATGCTGAAAAGAAGGCCAAAAGCAGTTATTCAAAGAAAGCCCAAATTGAACACGATAAATCCATAAAATACTCTAAAAGTTGAGCAGAGAAGAGATCCTGAGGTGAAATTTTAGGGGAGAGAGTAACAGGGCTGCCTGTGTAGTCTACTCCGAGGGTTTCCTCTGAGTGATACCTCTCTGCTTCTCTGGGGAAATTAAGGAGGACAATTTTCTGAACTTTTTCTTAACGCCCATAGAATCGTGGTGGAATGAATGAGATGGCCTGAAATTGCTACTGATTCTCCACTGTAGTACATACATGTGATTCCTGGGTTGAAATAGGTAAATTTAAGACAAACAGAAGGCAGTCTATTTTATTGATATAATTAGCTAGCTATAAAATTAGGTAGTCCTTGCTTTATGGGGTGATAAGGGTAATTTTTTATTATATAAGTTTTAAATGGATTTGTATATAAATGCATCAGAGAAATCACCGAAATTAAAAAGATGAATTAATGGTTTCATAAGATTGACGACCATTTATTGAGACACAACTAAGTTAATTTATTCTGGATGCTTTACATACATCATTTCTAATCTTGAAACATTCTATGGAGTAGTCATTATTGACTGCATTTTATTTCAGAGAATACTGAAATGTGGATAGGTTGATTAATTTCCCATGGGTCACAAGATTTTAGGAAAAGATCTAGAATTTGCACATGGAATATTTAAGATCTTTTTATACTACTTCCTCTTAATTTCTTGTTTCTTAGTTTGGCAGAAAAGGAAGTGAGGCTATTTGTTTACTTGGTTTAGTAGATGACAAGGCTGATTTTTATGAGAAAATTTTAAAAGAAAAGCTGAAATCCAGAAATGCTCACGATCTACCTAAAAATAGAGGACAAGTGAAAGATTCTTTCTTCCTTCAATGGAAATCCATTCCTGTATCTCTCACTATTATTTTTCACTCATGTGCGAAGCTCAGACTGCCAGTTGTGTGGATTTTTTTATTCTAAACATTGTTGGAGACAAAAAAACAAAAATGCTGAGAGTAGACAGCTTACACAGGTGTTAAGTCTTAATGAGGAGAGCAAAACTGATTTAGAAAGATGTCAAGTTATCCCAAAGGATTAGGACCTTAACAAATACTTTATCCCAGGAAATGTGTATTTCCTTTGCCCACCTATAATTTATATATTTCTGATACTTCAGTAGTTCATTTTCTGGTTTATTCTCAAATATATCTTGTTCTGTACTGCCTTTATATCTGTTAGCTTCTTCAAATCCTAAATAATGCATTCTTTCATAAGACTTACAGTTGAGTACTTTTATATACGCAGCACTTGCTGGCTGTGGGAAGCATACAAATGAATCGGTCATCACCCTGATCTCAGAAAGTGCTCAAATTAGCAAGACAGAAGAACCTGATTACCCCACTGCCGTGGCAGTGCCAGTGTCAAGGCTAGGCGAGCATAGGCCTAGCCATGGACTATAATAAAAGACTGTGTTTTAAGAAGAATATCCTCTAACAAGAATAGAGGCTTTAGCTAAGCAGGTCTCAAAAGAAACAGCAAGTATGGTACTGAGCGATGCATGCCCCATTTCTCCTTCCCATGTTAGCAAACAAGTAAGTCACTGCTTCCTATGGGGAGGAGGAAGTGGGCAGATGGAAAGATGCCCGGAGGGTTTTGCTGGTGTAGATCCTTCCAAAATGCAGGAAGTGGCAGGAGTTGGGCAGAGGGTCCCCTCTTTTCCCCTCCACAATAATGAATTCACAAATTTTTCTTTTCTCCCTGCAGTAATCCAATTCGGATTTGTTACGTTATTTGTGGCCTCTTTTCCTTTGGCCCCTCTTCTTGCTCTCTTGAATAATATTATAGAGATCCGAGTGGATGCCTGGAAACTTACTACTCAGTACAGGAGACCTGTGGCTGCTAAAGCTCATAGCATAGGTGTTTGGCAAGACATTCTCTATGGAATGGCTGTTATTTCTGTTGCAACTAATGTAAGTGACCTATTTTGGTGCGTGACTATGTATTTTGTTTTCTTGGGGATTGGAAGATGTCAGTGGTGCTTACATAACTCAGTCTTTATTTATGTTGATTTCATCATGGTGGCAGTCCATAAAGATAAAACATTCCTAAACTTTTATGCACTAAACAACATAGAGAAATCTGACATGGAAACTCAGAAAAACAAGGAAAATTTCAAGATCATCCCCAAGGAAAATTGTAGGATCACTCTCATTAAAATACCACAATGCAGTTTCATAGCGTATGACAAAGGAGACAGGAAACAAGTGATGGTATAAAGATTTTGAATAGTACAATTAAATCTTAATTATACATAAATTGTGTTTAACAGAGTACACAATGTTTACCTGTTATGTCTGTGGAGCACTAAAAAGAGAAATGAAAATAAATTCCTCAAAGCATGAATTTTACAATGCATGTTCACCTAAAAGAATATTATGAAAATTAAAGTTGATAATAAGGTACTCAAAAAGAACACATAATCACCTAACATTCATACTTCTAAGTCAACTTTATTATGTAAAGAGGAAATGAAATTACAAGAATACTTAATTGAAATGAAAACCTATACGAATCAGCTAAAATCGCAGGTACAGAAAAGTTATAGCAGAAAATTTTTTAATAATAAATGCTTTATTTATTTACATCTTTTTAGTAATAATTTTTTTACTTTTTTTTATTGCTCAAGTGCAATTGTCTCCATTATCCCGCCACCATTTTCCCCTGCCCCACCCTCCTCTGCCCCACCCACCCCTACCTCCCACCCTCAATCCTTCCCCACTTTTTGGCTTTATCCATGAGTCCTTTATACGTGTTCCTTGACTTGACCCTTCTCCTTCTTTTCCCTATTACCCCCCTTCCTCCTCCTCTCTGGTTACTGTCGGTTTGTTTTTTCTTTCAATGTTGCCGGTTATATTTTTCTTGCTTGTTTGTTTTGTTGATTAGGTTCCATTTACAGGCAAGATCATATGGTAAATGCTTTTATTATTAAAAAAGAAGAAACTAACTTAAGAAACTAAGGAAAAGTGTAATGTAAGTAATCAATAGAAAGTAATAAGAGAATTAATAAAGATATAAACAGGAATAATCAAATTAGAAAACAAAAAAAGCAATGTAATTGCTAAGTAAATCAAGAATTAGCTCATTGAAAAGGCAAATAGAATACCAAAACTCCCAAAGTCTGAAACAAATAAAAGAGTTACAAGGTACAGGTGAGAAAATTGAGAGACTGCTATATACATATATATTCCAATTTTAAAATCTATTTGAAATTACTACTTTTTTAGAAAAATAAGAACTGCTAAAATTTACTCAGTGATAGAAAAGCTGAATAGACCAGTAGCTATAGAGGTAATATTAAAAGGTTTTTAAAAATCTACCACTAAAACTGCAGGTATCAGAGCCAGGTGGTTTTAAATCGACTTATCTAACCTAAAGGAAACATGTAATTTGTACTATTTAGAGCTTAGGAGAGGATGGGAAAATACCTTCCCTATGAAATCAAATACTGAAATTAATTGTACTGACCTGTGTGAAATTTACTAGCTTATGGTCTTCTATCTCCCCATTCCTTCCCCACCAAGCGCGCTCGCGTGCGCGTGTCCTCTCTCTCTCTCTCTCTCTCTCTCTCTCTTTCTCGGCCCAAGCATATGGAGTTGGTCCAGGCAAAGGAATCTGGTTCAGGACAATGAAACTGTGTATGCAACAGTAAGAAATGTAGAAATAGAAAGGCATAGTGGAAAGATCATGGTTTTTGGAATCATACACTTAGCTTCAATTTTCAACTTAGACACTTTTTAGCTATGAAGTCTTGGACTACTAGTCACATACTATAAGTGAGATATTTCATGTTTTAGGCCAAAAACTCATACATTAACATGATTAATAACAACATTTTAGTCATTTTGCATCCATGTAGTAAAATGGAACTGAGCAATACAAATCACTCATTTCTAAAACTAGATTGTTAGCTCATGATCTTCCTCTTGCTTTATCCCTTTTAGGCTTTTATTGTTGCATTTACATCAGACATGATTCCTCGTTTAGTTTACTACTATGCCTACTCAAGAAATGCCAGTGAACCTTTGAAAGGATATATCAATAACAGCCTGTCAACATTCCTGATAGCTGATATACCAGACCACACTGCGCCTGTGGAAAAACGAGACTTCACCACTTGCAGGTTTCTTCTTGTTTTCTTAGGCTTTAATTTTGCCCCTTAAATGTATTTTCTTAAGTTCTTCATTTCCTCCATGCCTTACAATGTAAAGGATTTACTTTGGGCAGTAAATAACCTGGATAAATAAAGTGCATCAATTCTAGAATTCATTCATTGTAAGATTCTAATTTGGAAACATAGAATGTCCCAAAGTAAGACAATATTATGGGTAAAGATAACATCAATTTTGCATCGTCTCTTATTTTCTAAATTTATAGGAAATATTTCTCAACAACAAATGTCCCCAAATTGTAGTATCTATAGACTATACAGCATGATTGTATTATATATGTATTTAATCTACTTCAACTTAATTGTATGTCCTCAATAAAAGAATGAAAATAAAAATATGATCAGTTCATCATCCATCCCACTTACAGGGTTTCTTTCATGCAGTGAGTATGGAATTGGATTTGTAAACCTACTCTTTCCCTGCTTAGTGTCTCATGTACTGTGACGATTGTTTTACTCCAGGGTTGAAAGATTTTATATACATATAAAATCTGTATACAATATGTATATAAGTATTATATTTTATTAGATAGGTAGAAAGAACATCAAAGCCCATTAACTTAAATCTTAAACCAATGGCCTCATCTTGGATGCTTTCTTGGATAAAGAAACAGCAAAATGTTGCAACACAGGTAGACAGAAGCATTGCTATAGTTAATATTTACATCTAGAGGAATCATAGGATAGTCTTTAGGAACATGGTCACTTGTAGCATATTTCTTGATGTCATCACTGGACCAAACCTTTGAAGAACATCAATCTCTAGCAACTTTGTAGAAAACATTGAGTTCACAAAGTTGAGCACAACACTCCAGAAGGATAGTAAGAAAAAAGAAGCAGCAGTGTCAGATAAGCCAAGAGAAAATAGAATTTCAAGAAAATAAAAATGGTCAATAATGTCAAGTTTTATTCTCAAAAGATCAAATAAGATGAAGATTAAAGTGTTCCTTTGATTTAATTACAGGAGACAGTTGGTTTCACTGAGGTGATGGGTAGAAGTAAGTGCGTTAAGGGTCTGGAAGAAAGGGAATGGAGACAGCAAAATTTGTCTCTGAAGGGCAGGAGGGGAGTTGCTCTTGTGCCTCCTGCTACATCTGTACAATACTTAAGCAACATTTGGCCATGATTTTTAGTTGTATAAGAAAGACATGTTTTAAGGTAGCAGTTATCTTACTGTGATTGACTTTGGAGGTTAACTAAAAGGAGTAATAAAAATTCATGCTAGGTCTCCCTGAAGCTGTAGCTAATTTTTGTATTGCTATTTTTCAGGTATAGAGATTACAGATACCCTCCTGATCATGATCAGAAATACTTTCATAATATGCAGTTCTGGCACGTCCTTGCTGCCAAGATGACCTTCATCATAGTTATGGAGGTAAGCCCTTCTCGACATTCATTCCAGTTAGTCTCTCTGCTCCCTTGAGTCATATGTTTCTAAAGGTATCTGCTCAGCGGAAAATTAGCATTATCTCAGTAAATTGTTTTGACATATTTGTTGCCATAAAAAGCAGCATAGGGATATTTTCAGTATAATGATTGCCTGTTATTCCCTTACTATTATTGAAGTGACAGAAAAAAAGAAATATGGCCGTATCCTTGGAGGGTCATGAAATGGGCAGAGGGCCCACTGATTTTACTGAATACCTGTTGTGTATTGGTCCCAGAGGCTATGATAAAAATAACCTTGTAATGTACACTTTATTATTAATCCTTTAAAAATGAATCTCAGACTTAGCAAAGTTAGGTATTTGGTTTAAAAATGATCAACTAATATTAAACCTGGGCTTTACTGACGGATGTCTCACTCCCAAGTGTCTGCTCTGTCCTCTACATATTATGTTTCTCCCTTGTGGAATTTCTAGTTTCTCCCTTGTGGAATTTCTAGTCATAAAACATGCAATAAAAAAGAACAAATACAGAGGTGGTATTTGACTAAGATACAAATTGAGTGTTCTAAGTCATAAAACATGAGAGCCAATATGGGAGAGATAAATCAATGTAAGGCACTTTTTCACTCTATAGTACATTCCAATAATGGAAACGTCTAATGCAAGCACACACAATGTCTAATCAGTTTTTCTTTATTTTATTTTTATACATAAAAATAATTTAAAAATTCATATAATTCTCCATGATAAAAAAGACAACAGTCTTGTGTAATATTCTTCTGCATGTTTTTCCTCTTCCTTCCTCCCTCCCCCCATCCCTCACTCTCCCTGGCCCTCTCTGTCCCCTTCTCTCTCCCTCTCTCTGTCCCTCTCTCTGTCCCCCTCTCTGTCCCTCTCTCTGTCTCTTTATTTATCACTCTTTCATTTCCACATTTTTCACTACCTCTCAGCCTGGTAAATTGCACCAGGCATCTTTTGACTTTCTTTTTTTGTTTATTCATTATTCTTAGTAGTTTATTTAACCATCCCAGGCTCTGAATCACCATCTTTCTGGGACTTCTCTTCACCTTCTTTTATATTAAATACCATATTTTCTGCAAGCTATGTTTCTCCCATTTTTGGACTGCCAGCCTGTTTTAATGAAGCACATCTTCCTGTAATCTGTTGAGGAAAAGTATGGACCATCAATTTTTGAAAACTTGTATATTAAAAACTTTTTTCTTTCCTTATAGATGATTAATTGGTATACAATTCAGGATTGAAAGTCATTTTTCCTGAAATTCTTTCAACAAAATTTATTTAGGTATTCCTGAAATTTCTTAAGACAGTGCTCTATCTTCTGTCAGCTTCCAGTGTAGTTATAAAATACAATACCATTCTGATTCCCCAGTCTTTATGATCTTTTTAAATGTCAATAATCGTTTGAAATTCTCAATAATCCTTATTTTATGAAATTTCACAAGACAATTTCTTTATATTGGACCATATTCATTGTTTTGGATATTCACAGTTTAAACCCTCTAGGTCTGAAAACATATTTATCCTTCAAGTTGAGAAAATTTGCTTGTCTTGTTTCTTTGATAATTTCCTTCTTTCCTCTGTTCTGTCTTTCTTGGACTTCTATTATTCAGATATTACACTTCTTGTTTTGAAACTTTAATTATCATTTTTTTCTTTCCTGTAAATACATGGATTTATATCTTTGTCTTTTTATTTTGCTATTCTTTTGCTCTGTTCATTACTGATATCTCTCAGTTCCTGTTTTTGTGTTTCAGTCTTTTTCTTTCATGTTAGATAACTGCTTACATTTTTATTTGGTGGCTCTTGGCAGTCTGTTCATATTTAACAGTGAAACAATGAGATGATTATAAGCTTTGTGTTCATACACGAGGAATGTTGCTTGGTGGGCCTCACTGTAGTGTGATAAGATAGTGAGGGGACCTCTCCATTTTAGAAGTACCAGATTTTGATATCTGTCGTTATAATTTCACAGACTAGTTATTTTCCCCAGATACAAAGCCTACAGCCTCCTGTCTGTGGAGCTATTTCGAGGCAGCCTGTGTTTTGACAGCTGAGCAAGGCAGAGGGAGTAAGGACCTCAGAATTCAGTACGCTGCATCTCACTTACCTACCCGTTTTCAGTGGTGCCACATCTCCATTGAAAACTGTTTCTGAGCCCACAAAGACTGATTTAATTTCTGCTGCTTCCAGGGTGAGGTTGGAGAGTAGAGAGAAGTAATATGTTGATACAGATGGTAGAGAGGTTCTAGAAATTCAGCTGCTCCTTCTACAAATTTTGAACTAATCCTCTTGTTTTCAGCTCCACCCACACTTATACCTTCAAAGTGCTTAGCACTTTCTCTCCTGAGCTTTTCTAACGATCTAAAACAAAACTGGCTTTTGTCTCACTGGTCTCCGCCATCACCATGTCACCAGCTGCTAGTTTAAGGGCCACCTTTCTTTACTCCGGAGCCTGTTATCACTGTCCCCTCCCTTTTCTTTTTGTCTTTGTGAGTTATGTCGTTTTTTTAAATTCATTTTCAAATGATTTATTGGTTTTCAGAAGGGAGCATAGATAAAGAGTATATTCAATAACCATGTTCAACTTCAGTCTCTGTAATACACATTTTAGAATATATTTATTTGTTTCCTACTGGTCTTTAGAGGGAAATTCCAGGACAGGGATCATATCCTTTTTATTTTCTTTGCACCTCCCATGTTAAGCAGTTTTTTGAATGAATGAAATGATTTGTAAGAAGCTCCTGCTGAGCATTTGACAATTCTAACAGTGTTTTGGATTTTTTTGTTTTCTCCAGCACATTGTGTTTCTAGTTAAATTTTTGTTGGCCTGGATGATCCCTGATGTTCCAAAAGATGTTCTGGAGAGAATCAAGCGAGAAAAGCTAATGACTATCAAGATTCTCCATGACTTTGAGCTTAAAAAATTAAAAGAAAACTTGATAGTTGGTTCTAATGAATTTGCCAAGGAAGTCATGATTCAGGAAAACAAAGCACAGCTGGCCAAATCAACAATCTAGTCAACAAAATGAGTAAGCAGCTGGTTGCCTGTTTGGCGTTACATTTCCCCTGGGTTAGGGCCAGACGCCAGGAGCCATGTGTCAATTTTACCCCTTCTCCTTGTTGTTCTTTTTTTTTTTAAGTCAGTGTTTCTGTACGCTTTTGTAGAGGCTAACTTTGTGAGGTCAGAAGAGTACCACTTGTCTGCTCTGTTGGCTGGGCCTTTCCTAGGTATTGTTTTCTGGGACTCTATAAATGTTTGTTGAAAGTGCGTGTGAAATCAGAATATGGAAAATCATGGAATGTCCCAGTTTGTAAGGAAACAGTGGACTCGGGCTGTCCCATTACCTTCCAGAGAATCTGCACATTTTCATGTCTTCTCCTGGGTTGTTTTATATCTCTTTCCCATCAAGAAAAATGTTGGGACAAAAAGAAAAGAAGTGAAGGGGCCTAATGAGCCATATTTATCCTGCCATTTTAGACTATGCAAATGAAAAACCAAAATCAGATGACATAAGAAAACCACGTATTAAATATACTGGGTAAATATCATGGCGAGGGTTTATTTCCAGAATTGTCCAGAATAAGTTATGTTTCCATCAGAATCCCAGATAGCCCTTCCAGGTAAATGCAAAATTGATTTTTCAAGAGACTGAATATTTGGGTTTCAAGAAAAGACTAACAACTCAATTCTTTAAAGACAATATTTGGAGAAAAATAATTTTAAGACTGGATTGTCTTATCTGGAAAAGGGCTTTAAGAAGTCATTAGATTGCTTCAGGTCTTTGAGTAAATAAAAGCTATCATATAGCAGTGAATCTCTCTTCTTAGTAGGTAAGGAGTATAAGACAATGCACATTGATAGTTTATTGACAATGTAAAAAATTGTTGAATTATATAAAAAAATCATTTGTCTTCTACAATGACTTTTTACATCATGAAGCTTGTTTAAGCATTAGCTATTTGCGTAAGTTAGGTACAAGTTGTTTATGAAATTTTATTTCTTTGTTTAAGTCAATCTCAAATCTTTTAATGCATTTACAATTTTTTGTATTGATTCATCCCTTTATATAATGTTCCGTGCCTTGTCCGTATGACTTGGACCCACAAGCAGCTGTTGATTTGCTGTGATGTAACATCTCAAATGTGAGCCTACTCTAGAGAAATTGTCAGTTTAACATCAACTACAGAGTTTAACACCAAAAATGAATGAACTAAGTAAGAATGAAGTAATGGACTTGATAGCTAAGTTTAAAAAAAAATTGTTGAATTATTTCTCTCATACTTACGCCAATGGCACATGTATGCTAGTTCTTATTCTTCTTTCCCTTAAAATGCCATAAGTATATATATATATATATTTTAACATTATAGATGAGAGTTACTTTTCAATTATATATTATTTGAATCTCTAGTTTTAAATTACATTTCAGTTTCAAAAGAATAGGGTTTTTTAATTGCACATGAAAGAAAAAACTTCACACTTTTTTAAAAGTAGTGTTTCATTATTTGATGCTAATATATTTTTATGGAATTGTCAGTATTAAGTGTATGGCAGGTGGTATTAACTAATGATCGATATTAAGTGTTTAGATCTGAGGATTATGAATTTTATAAAACCATGAGACTGTTATCCCAATATCAGCAGTAATGATTTGTCATCCATCATTTTCATAGATCTTATGAATTTTTTTGTGTAATTTGAAATGATCTTATTATTGAAGCATGATTTTGCATGTGGAGAAGATATTTTTCTTGCTTGAGAAAACCAGTCACTGTTATTGTGAAATAAGCCACCGATGTAGTATGTTTGACTTGTTAATTAAACTCTGCATTACTATGATGTTATACATTGTGCACAGCTCTTTTGCTTCTTTCTTAGGTGCTAATAAAAATAAGAATGTGGAAATTGGTTTCCTATGGCTTTTAATTATTTATGGCCTGTCTGTATTTATAGAGCTAGATTATAGGGAAAAAAAGATATATCTCACAAAATTGTCCATACATTGCAATCTTAAACCAACTCAAGTGTTGGATTTCTAAGATGTATGGAGAACAAGAGAGGAAATAGTAATTTTAAAATAAATTAATAGTTCTTATGACTGGTAGATATTTTTCTTTTAAAATGTTATTGATAAATACTTTTTATTCATGTTTTTTCTACCAAGAAGTTTTTCCTAGTTTCACAGATTTTAAAATGAAATACAAGTATCTACCACGTTTCTAAGTTTACTATCCCAAGTCCAAAGCCAAATCAATTCATATAGATTTGTCTTACCTAATTAAGCCCATTTGTTATTATGGGAGGGCTGAATAAAGAGCATCTGACTATCAAATGTAAGTGGATATTTATCTGCATAGCAGATGTTTTTATCATCCAATCAAACCCATAGTTACGTTTTCTGAAATGTTCCAAGAAACATTTGAGATTTTTATTTGAAATAATTTTCAGTGAAAAAGCTGAGAAACACATATCTCTTTTCAAATGTCATCTCTTATCCTTGCCCTCATTAGTTTTTCTTTGCATACAAGAAGCAGCATCTACTTCAGGACATTTGTTTTAGAGTAATCCATCAAAAAGGGAATATCTTAATTAAAAGGAATGTTGTTTTATTTTGCTGCATCGCCTGACTCCTGGACTTAACATTCTTCTCTTATCTAAACCATTAAGCAAGATATCAGGGTGAAGAAGGAAAGATGATGATAAAGAAGAGGAGAGGGACGAGGAAGGAGATAAAAGAGTTCCCTCCTTAGCTGTGCCTGTTTCCAAGGGCGAGAGGTGTTGTAAGGTGTCATAGTGCAACTCCTGGGCCCCGGGGTAAAGGGGAGGTCTCTTTCCTAAGCTGTGTAATGAGGGCAAAAGCAAAGCCAAAGAAACTTCAAGCTGGAAACTATTATGTGTCCAAAGTAAAACTGATTCCAAGTGATTTTTGTAATATCAGATGCTATGTGTAGCCCTGGGTCTCTGTTGATTGACCTCACCTGAGGGTAAGGAATTTGTACTGTTCATTCAAAAGGTGAATCGATTGTTTTTTAAAGAACCTTTCTACTCATCGTTTTTAATTAGCAATAGTTGTTATCTCATCAAGTAAAGTTATTAAGGAAAATAACATTGAAACAAGTACCACTGACCAGGTTTACAAGTATGCTACCATGATTCACTATAAGTTTTATATTATTTTTTCTAGACAAATTATTACTCTTATCCTTTATGTGTAATAACTTAAGTATGTCAATTCTACCATTATATAAAAATTTATGATCATATTTTAAAAAGTAGCATGGTTTACTGTGTATGAAATACCTGCATTCAGCCCCCCAAAATATTTGATTAGGTATGTCTTTCCTATGAGTGATTATATGGCATGCTGTTAACCAAGAAAATAAGTTTTGCTTTTTGTTTTCTTTCTTCTAGTTCACACACGTAGTGGGTATGCCTGTGTGCAGCAAAAGTTGCTCCTAAGTAATAAATTTTCAGAGATTCACACTCAGTGAATAAAATAATACTTAATTTTAAACTATATTTTGACATGAACTCAATTTGTTCTCACAGTAACATGTTGATATGACTTTTCTGAATTTCAGTGTTCTAAGAGTTTTTAAGTCATGTTTTTGTTTAGAAATATGCATTATATGTAACATGTTTAATTCACAAAATTACATGTTTGTTACATTTAAAGATGCACATTCCTTGAAGTAGAGGTTGGATGACCCAGAAAAACTGGAAGTGGTGGTAATTTGGTTTTACCTCTTTTTTTTTTTCTATTTTGTGAGGCGATAGAGGTGAATAGAAAGGCCCAAGGACATAAATAGCATGTCAAGATATTTTCTGAATTTTTTCTTGTCCTGTCTTGCTCAAAAAGAAATACACAGCCACCTTCATTGGACTTATGCGGACTACTTGTGAGAAGTGAATATCCCTGGGTCCTATCCTAGGTCTCCAGGAACAGAAGGAACCTCTGGGAGAGGACCTTCAAAGAATCTTCAGAATTACATTTTGTGGGCATGAGACTGATGAGAATTTCATAAAAATTCCAATTCCCTAGCCTCAATCATTTTTTGTGATAGAGTCAAATGTTCATTTACCATTTCAGCCCATGAGGGAAGTATGCCAACCCATGTAGCCTCAGGATTTCCAACTGTGTGGAAGTCCTCCAATCCTGCAGTGTGCAGAAGTCACTGAAATCTTATACCTTAAGAGCCCTAGACTTGTAGTTTCTACTTAAATAAAATGAGAGAATATAAGATAAAATGTATTCAAGAAAAGGAAAGTACGTGCAGGCCAGAAATTAAGGTGAATACATCACAGTCCAAATATTTAAAAGAACAAATAGATTCTTAGGATTTAATCAGGACAGCAAAGCTACTATGCACATTGCAGAATAAAGGATGTATTAGAGAAAAGAGGCCTTTTGAAATTGTGACAGGAACTGGGAAGTAAGGCTTGAAGGGTTAGAGAATAGACACCACTCAGCTCTCGAGAAACACGGCAGTTTGTGGACAAACTGAGCTAACACATATTCAAATGCTGACGTGACTCTGGGAAGGAAAGCTATTGAATGAGTCTATGGAAAGCTGTTGCTTCTGTGAACTACTTACTGTGAGTTTGCAGCCACACTCCACTTACGGGCTTGGGGCAACTGCTGGTCAGGAAGACCTGGATATGGAGTGGAAAAGACAAGTTGGAGCCCTCTGGATGGTTCCCTTTCCATGTGTCCTTCACTGTATCTGGCTTCAAAGACTTTCTGAGAGAAATAGTTGCAGCTTTGCTTCTGTCTCCCTCCTGCAAATCTAACAACACCATATAAGAAAAAAACTACCGGTAAATGCAACTCTAGCTTAACCAAGTTGACACAGTACAAACTACCACATAGACAAACAAAAATACTATTGACTATTTGTTATTTGAACAGCATTATTAAAAATACTTAATTTGCATTCATAGAATGTTGTACTAAATAACAGAAAAATAGGATTTCTTTTCAGGCATATTCTAAACATTTACAAAATCTGACGAAATACCAGACCATTAAAAAAAAAATACTCAGCAAATTTCAAAGAACTAAAATAGTCAAATAATTTTCTCTGACCACAATCAAATGAAACTAGAACACAAGAAGATAACTAGGAAAATAATGTAAGAAAATAATGTTATTTCAAAATAATGTTTGAAATAACATCAAAAAAGTAATATGGAATTTCAAAAATAATTTTAATTACATGGTATCAAATATACTATATTGCTTAGATTTTGTCAGTGCACTGAATACTTCTTGAGGGTTGTTTTTAGGGGAAATGTATGACCTTTAATTAAGTTTTTAAAGAGAAAGAAACAGGTTAAGCATCAAAAGTTTGAGAACAACAAAGTAAATTTTTAAAAAGGAAGGAAAATCAGTTTTAGGAGAAGAAATTCATGGAAAGCATCAGAAAACATTGTTCTCAATGTAACATGTTAGACTCATCGCCTTCATAATTAGAAACAAGAAATTACACTTTCAGGAATAATACCCTGAGCTTTGTTCAGACCACTGAAACCCTAAAAAACAAACAAACAAACAAAAAAACACTAGAAAAATTGGATAAAATGTTTTTAAAAATTGATTGAAAGTATCAGAAAATTATAAGGCACAGGGAGCCTTGTGACCATATATTGGTTTGGCCAAAAAGTTAGTTTTTTTCTGTAAGATGGTTCTAATAATGTTTAGTTGTCCTTGACTTCATTCAAAACAAATTTGTTAGATTGTATTGTGACAGCTGTCATATCAGCATACATTAAAAAAAAACAAAAATTGGTGAATTTTTGTGTAGCCATTTTAATGTTGAAGATAGAAGAAAATATGTGTTTTCAGCATATTATGTAATTTCAAGAAAGGTAAAATGCAACCAAATGCAAAAAAAAAAAAAAAGATTTGTGCAGTGTATGGAGAAGGTGCTGTGACTGATTGAACATGTCAAAAGTGATTTTCGAAGTTTGTGCTGGAGATTTCTTGCTGAGTGATGCTCCAAGTTTAGGTAGACCAGCTGAAGTTAATAGTTGTCAAATTGAGGCATTAACTGAGAAGAGTTCAGCATTATACCACACTGGAGATGGCTGGCATACTCAAAATATCCGAATCAATCAAGTTATTGGTGAAAATGAATTATGTGTCTTTATTTTATGGGAAAAACTAAACGGACTTTTTGGTGAACCAATAGAACCAATATCTAGGAAAGGAGAGAAAAACACAGGTAAACCTGCATTTGTGGCTGTAAAATAGACATTCAAAAAACACTCAGAATCATTAGTAATCAGGGAAATACAAACTGAAATCACAATGAGATAACTGCCCACTTTCTAGAATGGCTAAATTAAACCTCCATACCAAGGGTTGGCAAGGATGGAGCCATTGGTGGGAATATAAAGTGATATAATTGCCATTGTTTTGAAAACAGGTTGGCAGTTTTTTTGTTTTTTGTTTCTAAGTTAAATAGATGCTTGCCACATGGCCTAGCAATCCCAAGAAAATACCATATACTTCGAAGGCCCATACTCAAATATTTACAGGGGCCTTATTCATAATGGCCAGAAACTGTAAATAATTTCAATTTCCAGTAACAGTAAATGGATAAACAAATGGCATATACATGCAACAGAACAGAATAAAAAGGAATTAATTACTAATATTTGTAACAACATGGATAAATATCAAAACTATTATTCTGAGTGAAAGAAGTCATATACCAGAGTACCTATTATGTGATTCCAATAAAAAATCCTAGAACAGGCAAAATGGATCAAGGACACAGGGTTAAGTATACAGATAGGCAAAAGGCACGAGGAAAGATTTAGGTATGAAGGAAATGTTCTGTTGATGATGATTGCAGTGACTTGGTTATTCATTTGTCAAAACTCACTCTCAA